AAATTGATGTGGCAGAAGATGCTTGGCATGGATGGATGGCCCCGTAATGATCATGCAAAGTATCAGCTGGAGCCCAGGGGCAACAAGCGGCCATCTGAGGACAGTGCTCAGCCTGCACCGAAGAGGCGAAAGTCTGGACGCTTCACAGCTGCGGCTGCCTCAGGTAATGTGGCAACTCCAGCTTAGGGTGTCATTGTTAGACTTGCGACGGTATGGATTGTAGGAGTGTTCTCGGGAACATTTCTTTGTACAGATGGTAAGCCATATATTCTAGAGTACACATATCATTGTATTTATATCGGAAAAAAACAAGCCTTCCATGGTCTGCCGATACGTATTCGTTGCCGCTGCTGCATGAAAGGGCGAAAATGTTTGGATGGATGTATATATTTCTTATCGCCCTTTGTCCACCGTATACCCCATGCGCGAGGTCGGTGCGCCTGCGTAATTCATCATAACGGGCAAAAAGTGATTACACTATGATTGATAAATTACTAGACAAAAGGGAATAAAATCACCGAGGATATCCAACCTAATTAACTTGTATGCTTTTCAAAAACCTTTTCACGCCAGTCGCGCGTATATGCTGGATTCGAGTAGTCCCATCAATATGGTGGAGTTGAGTTATGGCACCCGGTTTCTCCCTGTCTACCACCTTCACCAATGCATCCAGCATTATTGTCAAGGCCTCTTTGTTCCGCCCGTCCAGCGCATCTGGCAGGAGTCCGACTAGCCTTGCTCCGGTACGCGTCAACGTCTCAATCTCCTCAGTCTTCTCCGCACTCGTGCTTTCATCGTCATACAATTCTGGTAACCGTGTAAGAACGTTTGCATAGTCGACGAATAGCTGCAGGTTTGATTAAACAAGGCAGAAGGCAGAAATTCGACAAAAGTACCTTTCCTCGGATGCTCCAGCCATCGACAGCATGGCCACGGAACCGCCCAAACATGGTCTTGAGGAGTTCCAAGTCTTTCCTTACAACAGCCTCGGGTGCGAGCTCTGCCACGGCAATATCATGTGCTGGGTTGTACAGCCTGGCCGAAAGATACAGTTCATAGGCTTCGAACGGCGAGTTTTGATGGAGGGCGTAGATTGCCTATGTAACGCATCAGTACCGCAAGGTCATCAGAACACACTCAGCTTACCTGTGCCTCTTGCACCCAGACCATAGGCAGTTTCAAACTCCCCACCAAGCCACGGACCATCCAGTCATCCAGTAAGTGAGCAGACCGTGCCAACAGGTCTTTGATGGCCTTTTCCCGGCTACGAAAAAGAGTCAGCGAAGAAGGAGAAATCATCTAGTTAACATACCCGGCAGACCCTTCAATATGTAACAAAACAAATGCAGCTTCCTGTACAAGCCCGATCTGTTCAAGCTGGCCCGCGTACATGCTCGTCACTAAATCCGCTGTAGGACTATGTCCATCTACCCGGACTTCCTCTTCCGCCTCTGTATCCTCGTTATGCCATCCACCAGGATCACCTCGATCCGAAAAGTCTCTGACACGCATACACCGTGACAGGATGATATACAAATGCCAAGGAAGTGTGTAATCGATCCGGGACGACCCAAACGACGCTGGATCCAACACTCGCGTCAGCGAACATGCGGGATCCGCGAACAATCTTAAGATCGAAAACAGACCATCCGGACGACCATCCTTGGTCATCGGCAACGAGGTGACAGAACGTTCAAATGCCCGGAATACTTCCCCAATGGGTGCATCTATCGGTTCATTGAACCACAGGTGCATCCCAAAGACGCGTTTCCAATCCAAATTCTTTACATCTGCTAATCCCGCCAGCAATCCGTACACTCGTTTGATGTATTCATCAATGTGTACATCGACGTGCTCTGTCCGCCACAGCTCAATCTGCTCCTTCACATCCTCACGGAATTCGAATTCTCCGCCGGCTTGCGACACGAGTGTTGCAAGCTTGACATAACCAGCGTCCATTGCCGCCTCACATGCTTTTTCGACTTGGTTTCCTGTCAATAACGTCCATACACGTGCGGTAGCGCTTGTTCCCGGGACGCGTAATTCAGAGTCGACTGTGGGTGCCACAGTGTGCTCCAGCCATGCGGTCAGAGCAGCTTTCCGTGCCAGTGCCGAAACGCGGTTTTTGATATCGACGGTGATATCGGACCCAAGCCGAAGGTCCAGGAGGTCAAATAGAGCCTGGCCTAACCGGAAGAGCGTGGCTTCGTAAGAATGATCTGTCGTTGGGAAGAGAGACGCGAATGAGGCGAAATGCAGATTCGGGGATGTAGGGTCGGCAAATGGTATACCAGCATCATCTGGGGCTATAGGCGAATGAGATAGATGGTGTTGCAAGAGTTTAGTACTCAGGTCATAGGAAGATAAGGAATGCGGAGAGGCAGGTTTGGAAAAGAACGGAACTCGAGTTTTGTGTATTGTTGAGGAGTTTGAAGTAGATTTTCTGGACAAGTACGGTTTAAGTTTTCAGATAACTTCGGATAACTTGTCACCTACGATGTGGAAGCTGGTCCAGCAAGGCTGCCCAGATGAACCAATGTGCCACCAGGACCCCAACCCACTCGAAACGAGCGCCCGAATGCCAGTCCCGCATCCACTGAGGCATCCTCATGGCCATCAAAGACCGACGCTGAACTCTCGACTCTTGCATATTTTCGCGACGGGCGGTAAGCTGGCGGTTCGATATCGTGCGCGAAAGAAGCGCGCTAAAGAGCTGTCAAAAACAAGATACAGAAAATTGGGCGCAACAAACCTCTCTGGACTCGAATCTCAGCCCTTCACCGTCAGAATCACGGCTATGTTTCCGATTTAGAGTATTCTGTGCGCGTAGAGCCGGCTGTGGAACGTCCTGCATCATTGCACGGATATTCTCTGCTTCTTCTGGCACGCGAAAAAAAGAGGTTTGCATGACATGTATCCGTTGCGCGTCAAGGCCCAGTCTTGAGGACACCGTTGGGAGTGGCAGGCCGTCGTCTCTGACCTGCTGGTATTCACCATCCTCGTCTTCGACTAGCGCCTCTTTCCGTCGCCGCGGCGGAAAAAGATCCTCTTCTCGCATCTCTGAAGATCCCGAGCTCGTCGATCCTTTATCGTCATCGTCGTCTGCCTCTTCCTCCTCCTCCTCCTCCTCTTCTTCCTCCTCTTCCTCATCATCCATGTCGTCGTCCGAAAGGGCAGTAAAAGATTGCGCAGCCTTGAGATTTATCGGCGCAGTATCAGATCCGTCGTCACTACTAGAGTCGTCATCACTGGAGTATGCACGGAAACGAGCCATAACTTGAAGCCGTGAACGATTGTTTCGAAGTTCAGCCTTTTTCAGCCACGTGGCACTGACAAGACCACGATCGGCAATCACCGTTACGGGCCGACCAGTACCGATTTTCAACGGTTTGTTAAATTCTCACCATAATCGGCCTAAGGCGCGGGCGGAGCCCGCAACCAATAATGCACGCGAAAGAGCTTACAGTCGACTAGCCTTGCTGTCATTCCAGAGCCCTCGCATTTATTCCGCTGCTTGTTGAAGAACACTGACATAGAATGCTTTGTTATGTGGTGAGTCTAGTGATCGTAGTAGCTTCCCATTTAGCCTTTCTGACTTCGGCCGGTAGTGTTATTTTTTCATTTCATTTTCTCAGCTTCAAGTTATTCTGCCCGAATTCTTCATGGATCAGAGAGGATAATGTATTTATCCCCGACGCTAGGTTCACCGTTAACTTGCAAAGTACTTGCTCGGATACTGTGCTATTTCTTGCTGTTCGCGATCACTGAAGACGAAAGCATCGAGGCCTTGAGGTAATTCCGCAGAGGTGGTTCAGCTCGAAACGTAAGTCATCGCTCTGCGAACCCCTGCATGGTGGCCGACAGATGTCGTGCCGTTGGTGTATAAATAACCAGAGTCATTTTAGTAACGACCGTACTTTGATGTCAAACAAAAGCATCGGTCAATCTTATGGAGTTCAGTTGCCTTAGCTTCGATATTTAGTCGTGCGGTATCTGTCTGCCTATCCACCGAAATCCAGATCGACTCCAGGATCACTAGAGCCCGGTATTTCGAGATTCAACTGTGGTGGACAAACACCGCGAGTATCAGAGGTGGTCTTGGCAAACAACGGGATAGCCCGCGCCACAGAATAAGTGGCCGTAATATTCTTGGAAGTGTCTATTATTTTTATGCTTGCTTAAAGAGTGTTAAGTCAAACGGAGATTGCCTGCGAAATGTCAGCAAGCCGGTGCAGCCGGGGAACCTGAATTCCGAGTGACTCAGGAAATGATGCACCCATAATTTGGCCGACGACGTTAACGTTTGTTACCCCAGTGTCATGGTCGGCTCCGATTGCTACTGCTCACATCGCCCCGAGACTCTTACCAATGTCAAATGTCGAAAGGTTCGACTTCGAGAGTCAGACTACCACATCCTAGAATCCGTTGAGCCTTTATCCGACGCTCCTTTGGTCATCCTCCTTCACGGGTTTCCAGAGCTCGCCTATTCATGGCGCAAAGTGATTCAGCCTCTCTCCCAGGCGGGGTACCACGTCGTTGCTCCAGACCAATGGGGCTACGGCAGAATGGCCGTCACGCCTATTCAATATGACGACAACCTGGAGCCTTTCCAAATGTCCCACTTAGTTCAAGATGTCGTGACACTGATCCGTATTCTGGGCTATTCAACTGCTTCAGTGGTGGGGCATGATTTTGGCTCCCTCGTTGCAGGTTTTTGTGCTCTTACTCACCCAGACATCTTCCAATCTGTTGTATTCATGAGCGCCCCATTCACGGGTCTGATCGCGCCTGATGCACCTCTTTTCCCCACGAAGGCAGCCGATGAAATTCTATCCTTAATGAACCCTCCTCGAAAATACTACACGACATATTTCTCTTCTCGCGATGCTAATAAACATTTAATGCAAAGTCTACCATTGGAAACGTTTCTCCGCGCGTATTTCCGTGCCAAGGCTGCAGACGGCACCCGGCTGGACAACAGCGATCCCCATCCTCTCGCATCCATAGATGAAATGGAAAAGCTACCGAGGTACTACGTGATGCTCCAGCACGAAACCATGCCCGATGCGGTCCTTCGGTCTCAAGACATGCCTGACATATCCTGGCTCACACCTTCCGAGCTCTCTACATATGCCTACGAATACTCCCGTACAGGGTTTCAAGGCGGCTTAAATTGGTACCGCTGCTCCACTGATGCTCAGTGGACTCGGGATCTGTCCGAGTTTGCTGGAAAAGGTGTAGAGGTCCCCGCGATGTTTATTGCGGGTAAATTGGATTGGGGCACATATCAAGCTCCAGGGGCTTTGGTGAGAATGAAGAGCGAAGTTTGTGGGAAGATGGAAGAGAGCGATGTGATCCTCATTGAGGATGCAGGTCATTGGGTTCAACAGGAGAAGAGCGAAGCGGTGGTTACCGAGCTGGTGCAATTCTTAGATAAGTGCCTGGGTAGGTGAAGACTGGTAGGGATGCATTACGGAGGAAGTTCATAAGTGAACCCTAACATGTACATACTGTTAGTTGGAGCCCTCATCTTAATTTGAAAATATATATTTCGAACATGTTTACTGTGCCCTGGGTTCGGGCAACGTTTACTTCCCCTTCTGACCGTAGAAATACCAAAGGGGCTTGTGCGCTTGCTATCGGGATGTGAGCGGTCTCACCGTGTACTTCACAAGATACAAAAAAAGCATGCGGACTCGAACTTCGAAGGTGGGAGTCGCCGACGGCACAAGGATATTATCCATGTTCTTTTCCATGTTCTTGTAGCAGTTTTATCCCACGCCAATCGACTAGTAAGCAATGGAAGAAGGACATTGTGTATTTACTTCCTTTACAGGGTGAGTCCTTTCTCCTAGCGAGGTAAGTGATACCCGTCATCTAGAAATGCCATCGTCTTCACGTACTTGTGAGAATGAGCGCCACAGAATCGACGAGAGCATCCCACAAATCAAACCAGACCTGATTGGCCAAGGACGACAAGATGCTTCATTACACTTTACGAGCGATGTTGATGAGCAACCAAGTCAATTCTAACTCTGGACTCGAAATTCGCGTGGCGCGTCCATGTGATGAGAAATTTCGTTAGGCCCATTTCCACGTCAGGTCTGAAAAGTATGTTAATTTCCATCTCAAATTCTGAGCAATGAATGAAGTGGATCACCTATACAGGGCGAACTTGCCAATTCCCGTTCTCTACTTTTTACGATATCTTCCGCTCTGGCCAATGTATCTTCCTGCCCCCGAAACGGCGCTTCCCAATCCAACACCATAACAGGATATGGCAACCAAACAATTCTCAAATCCCGTGTGGGTACCGGATCGGCACCCTCGTCGATAAGAACCGCCATGACTTTGAGCGACGGGCACATATAAATGAGAGAAAGCAGGTATGCTTCTGTGACGGGGAGATCACGAATGATAATGCCCAGATGAGTCAAATGTGGTAAGGCTGCTAATTCCCAGATGACCAGTTCACCGGGTTGCCAGTAGATGAGGTCCAGGCGGGTTAGGGAGAGGAACAGAGCGCCGTGACAGAGGGGTTCTCTACAGAGCTGTCGAAAATGTCTGATCTCCATGGAAAGTCGACGTAGGCGTTGAGACGCGATCAGCGGGGAGAATTGTACCCGGTGGTGGACTGCTCTAAAGTCGACCCAACAGGCCAGACTCCGGACACCCGAACAAGTCGCTAGGATCCGCGCTGCAGCCTCAGGCTCGACAGACACAGTGAGGCATAATCTCTTAACGTTCTGTTGAAAGAATTCCCCCGGTAATTCATCCATCGTTCGTAGGAACAGGGAAGTGTCATCGGTCCCGAGCGTCACCATCTCGTAGATCAGTGGCTGTATCCTAAGTAAGGTGTTAGAGTCAGCTGAAGACATAGTAAATTGGTATGGTACCTACCATGCTCGGACCCGGCGAGCCACCAGGACTAGGTCGAGAGCACTATTAGGTCGCATGCGTGCAGCCACCTCGAAAATCTCTCTCTCTAGCTCGGCCGGAAGGTCCTGGATCGGAAAGTAATCGACGGTTGTCATGGCCGGACACCAACAGCGGGGGACGCGAAATATAATCGACATTTAAAAATCTCGAAGTCATCGATAGACTCCGACCAAGCTGTAGTGGGGGGGAAATTGAAATAATCGGAAGGGGTTACTTATTGGAACACGTTCTGACTCCGACAGCACGGTATCTTTATTCTCTCGATCAGAGTCACGGTCAAGGTTTAGAATGAGTCCACGTACTGATTTACATGACGCTGAAATTCTCAAAGAGTAGGTAATGTCCTTCAGATTAGACTTTGACCTAATAAATTAATTCAGCCCCTCGAGATAGGGTAGATAGTAAATCTGGATCACTCTTACGGCGCGAACTGTGGCCTTTGTATGGAACATAGCCTAATGTATGATTCAATCGATCATCAAGTAGGTGTACACCTGACGTCAATTGAGATGAAGCAATATGATATACACCGCGTAAAGCCCTCCATTATTCGACCGAGATTTTCGTTCCGCATGGCGGAGAACCTCGACATTCGCCATCGGCGAAGTGGCAACTTAATACCATGCGCCATAATCTGCAAACGATGAAGATGATGGCATGAGATTGCTTGTCCTCTAGCTGCTCCGAAAAGCTTTGAGATGATGGCGAAGCAGAGCACAGAGCGGGTGAAAAGACCCCATGCGCTTTTAGCATGCTGAAATTTAACGGATCGTTAATTAGGACACGAAGCGTATATGATTTGGCCGCAAAGCCTCGCTCGATACTGAGTGTTTAGCGCTTGAGCACGCTCCGAGGAATGGGCATGGTAACTTGGCCTACCTAGCCTTCAAAATATCGAGGCTTTCATTTTTGTCTGTACGGCAAGGGGTGTCAAGTGGATTCCAAGGCCTCCAGGTGGGTCCTCGCTACAGCGGATGCGGCCGCGGAACTTCTGCTTCCGATGAAGACGTCGATTTTAGAAGACGGTATTGCCCGGAAAAGTGGCCGTAAGTGCCCCTATCAGAATTGTCGGGGACAGTCCTAAAGTTATACGAACATCAATTGAACAGAGTTATTGATTTATCCTTCTAGCGTTGCGTTCGAATCTAAAACAACTTGGTGAAAAAACCAAAGTAGTCCAGGGCACCTAGGCCTGGTTTTACTTATCTAGGGTTCTCTCTCATGTACACGTACAATTTACCGCAGCAAATCTAATGTGAGTAATAAGTAAATTCAAGTTGGTTCTGGGGCTGCCAGGTGACGGCCCGGGGCGCGTTTTGGGTGAGAGATGGTTGCGGTCGTCGGTCGTCGGTCGCCACGGTCCGGATCAGCAGCGCAAGAGGCACACGTGACGAACTACCTTCTGGACCAAAATATCATCATGCTCTGGCCAAGGCTCTCTCATTTCACATCCACACGGGCGACCAGACATGCCAGGAAAATCTCATCAGCCCCGTCTGCAAAAGACAAGTTCAAAATCCTTTTCCTTGGCCGCGAAGAGTTCTCGTGCATCGTACTGAAGGAGCTATTCGCTGCAGAAGGTTTCACCACGGCCCCTTCTCCCTTCTCTGGATCCATTTATCAGCTTCCTAGATGTTTGGGCGTCGCTAGATATCGCTACGAATCCCGATGAAAATATAGGACGACGGGGCTCGAAACTTTCTATTTGTGAGTCGCTGGCCAGGGCGTGGTTATTGGTGCTGATGCGATATTTAACTAGCACCCCTCAAAACACTAGGTGAATCTTTGGAGATACCGGTACATCTCATTCCACGTGAAAAGATCGATTTCAGACACTGGACGGTGGGAATGTGATCAAATAGAGAGTCATCGTGCTAATATCCATAAGACAGCCACCAGCACCATTTTCTGAGAGCGTATCACCCAATAATTTAGTCGTCACAGCTTCTTTTGGGCGTATTCTCTCTTCACATTTCCTAGACCTATTTGCTCCGACGAGGAGACTGAACGTCCATCCTTCCCTTCTTCCAAAATACCGTGGACCTGCACCTATACAACACGCGATTTTGAGTGGAGACTCGGCGACTGGTGTTTCTATCATTAGTATGCTGAAGAGGAAGGAAGGAATAGATGCTGGTGACGTGTGGGGGTCAAAAAAGATGGTATGAGTATGCTGTTTGCGTTTTTTTTCCGTTTTAACACGCCAGCTGGACAGGCTGTTGCATCAAACGCGACGTACCTAGATTTACAAAATTCGTTGGCCCTACAAGGAGGCAAACTGTTGGTATCCGTACTACGGGATATGATATCAGGAACCGTTGAGTTTTCTCTCAGCTGGTATGTTCAGCCTACTGATCGTGGTCTTTAGGCAAAAGCATCTCCCCAGGTAGGAGAGGTGTCCCATGCACCGCTGATCACGTACGACGACTCTATTGTTGATTTTACCACCATGTCCGCTGAGTCCATCGTTCGACGGTATCGAGCTATCGGACATCAGGTATAATCTCCGTCAAAGTCGCCGCTGCCTCCATTTGATTTTGACATTGACAGCGTCCTATCACCGTGTATGCGCTTGATGGATGCACCATCCAACTTGGTTCCCCGTCGGTGGAATCTCAGCCGCCATCATTCGTTCGGGACGAGCCAGGAGTGTCGTGTCTATACCGGTCTAAAAGGTCGGTACTGGTTCGTTGTGTAGATGGGTCTGTCCTGTCTATACCGAACATGAAACCTGAGGCGAGCCATTGGGGGACTGGCAAGGATTGGTGGAACGGAGTCAAAGGCATGAATTTTGTCAAGAATGGCACCTACAGGTTCATCAATAAGCGCTATTTGGAGCCTTAAGCTCAGCCACTATGCTCTTCTGGATGTCTAACATGTGGAAAGATCACCACTTTTCCAGCATGCTTCTCCGGAACGATTGGCCTAAAACCTCTCAAATAATCTATTCAGTACCTTTGCACCTCAGCACACTATGAGCTTTGTCAATTCCCTCTCCTGGCCATCGTCGTCAAGCAGCACGTGACCGTTGTTTATCCTTCGTATGAAGTTATCTTAGTTCTATCCTATTTGGATCTCATGCACGCAACGCTTGACATTTCTACGATATCGTATTTTCCCAATCAGGCTTCCCAAACCAAAAGTCCCGACACCTCTATTGAAAGTCTTCAGTCATCTGAGAACATTCCGCACTGCGACGTGTCTGAGGACCTTCAGTTTCAAGCTCCGATCCACATAACCAACCTCTCTTCCTTAGCTTCCTCCATGTCCGACATCCGTATATACTTGAAGCCACGACCAATCTCCTCTGTCTACGGACACTCGAATTATCTACCGTTTTAATGGAACCCCAACTTCAAGTACGGACCATTTTTCGCCGGCTATGGGACGATTCCCTCCGACGCTACAGAGGAATACATTATCAACTCTCCCGACCTATCTGCTGGGATCGCAGCCTTCCATAACGAACTCCTTCCCAGCCTCCACGCTGATGTTCCTGATCCTAACCAAACAAGCCGTTCTTTGTGGCCCATCCTTTATAAGCTCGAGAGGACGAAGATGCGATCAGTGTCTCATTTCTTGTGCGACAGCGAAAGTCATGTCAATCGACTCTACCAAGGTGACCATACACCGTTTCTACTGCCACCCCAAATGCGTACCATGGAGGAGGATCCCGAGTGGCATAAACTGTTCTTTTCAATCATAGCTAGACATGATATTGAGATGCGTGATGACAATATTGAACTGGAGATATTTGTCTGGGTCTATATGCATTTCATGGTGTTCTACTTTAGCCGTAAGCGACCATGGTGATGACCTTTGTCTTTTCTTACGGTTTTTTTTGTTGTAGTTCCATGGCTCAAATTGGGGAAAGAGATGCACTATCGTAAGGTCATGTATATCAACCATGGTCCCTTTTTGCTCATGTTCTGCTTGTCAGCTGAATGGTCGGTATCACTCGACGTTCTCAGGGCAAAGGCTATCGTTTTCCCATCGATATCCACCCCCGAGGGTAATACGAACAACAAACCTCCCAGCAACAAATTTTCCAGCAATGACCCCCATGTTTGGATGCTATTGGAGGTTATCCGCACCTTGACGTTGAGTTCCTGCCGTTCCGTATTTTTCCTACTTATTACTTACCTTTTATATACATACTCCTGTCCTTACAGTTTTTCATATAAAAGCCTCGCCGTAGTTTACATGATACCTCAGTCGTTCTACTCTTGCTGCGTACGACTGAGTTCTTACAAAGTATCTTTTGTCATTAGATGCGTAGTAGCGACTCTGAAACCAATGACACCTTTCTCCGTGCGCGTCACAAACCTTCTTTACGCTTACTCTATTCCCACTTCTTTCTTCAATTTTAGCGCCCAATAGCATCTGATGACGCTGATATAGCTTGACGGGGCCGTCCTCTTGGATCATCTTTCACCCTGCCCTTACACTTGTCGAACGATGTAACAGAAGGCGTTACATTTTAATGCGATTTATAAGAATATTCTGCGTAAAGCAGGTTCATAAATCATTCATCGACTACAATACAAGTGTTACAGATAAGAGAATAAAGCGGACAGCCCTAGCAAAATACAGAAATCACTCTTCCATAGCATCGTCGCTATCGTCCTCATCACTGTCAGAATCTTCACCCTCCGCAACTTCGATATCGCCCAATCCGATATCGTGATCCGCCCCTACGTATGAGTCGCAGATGACATATAGTTTTAACGAATGCTTGCCCTTCGGCAGCGTGAACTCCAACTTGACGGCCAAATTCCTGGTCACCGTCACCCGCTTAATGACCAGTAGTTGTCGCGTTGAAGGCTCGCCAACAACCAACCACCAGTTTGCCATCTTCTTTCCTGGGTAGAACGGCGCAATTACCGTTTGGTCGCCTTCTTCGCCATCTTCGTCGACATCCCGGGAAAGAGCAACCTGGAGAATGATGGGAGCACCGGCTGTGTAGCCCCCGCCAACGAGCTCGTGTGTGACATCGAGCGTTGGGTACGAGTTGACGAACGTAGCAACATCTTGCCTGTAAATCGAAATGAGTATACGTTAACGATGACTGCACGGAATGCCTACATCTGTGCTTGAGACATTTGCAAAAGTGCGGTACGTTTGTCGTCCTCCATCTCCATGATATCATACACAGATTCGATACCAGCATCCTTACACCTCTGGATCAGCTCTGGCTCGAAGTGTGGCACCTGCCTGAGAGGGGAGTCTCTGTCCCAAACAGCCTGAACACACATCTGCGCGAGGTCCATAGCACCTAAAGCACTCAACCAGGCATTCGATGACATGACATCCACACACGCCGAGAGCAAGTTCAACACTTTCTCCAGGACGATCTTCTGGTCCGCAGCCAAATCCGCGGGTAACTGAATGCGACTAAAGTGTGCTTGAAGGAGGAGGAATGTCTTGAAGTGAGGGACCTCAAAGTTGACCCCGTCGATCTTGACAGGAAGGCGGTCATACAGCCGCTTGAGTAGAACGTCCTCGTGTCGACGGATAGGGATGGTTTCGAACTCGGCTGAAGATGACACAACTTCGAGCAGACCCTTCAGCTTCGTACGCTCCTTCAGTGATAGTGTGTAGACCTCGACGGTAACATCTGGCAAGATAAAGTTAATTATGTCAGGGAGAAGCAAGGAAGGACTCACAAGAGATGTTGTAGTAAGCAGCGATCATTCCAAGGTTGAGTGCGGAAACATCCATCTCGTCTTCTAAAGTAAAGTAAGCGAAATGCCCGATATCAAAAATGTTTGTGCAATTACCGATAGCAATACACTTAGAGTTGACGAGGTCGGTCAAGGTGTTCTCAACCAACTCCGAAAGATGATCCGACAAATGCTGGTGGCTGACGTTATGGAGGTTATAGTAGTTAGGATTCTGTGTCATCCTGCGATAGAAGTAAGTCCATGTGAGGATATCCTGAAACAATATTAACTCGGTATCGTAAAAGCCAAAGCATTCTCCTACCATAGCATCCTGCTTGTTCTCGATGGTTTTAACTGCAATCTCCGCCAGGAAATAGTCGTGCAGCAGGTGGGTTGGAAGGTGACTCTCAATAGGAAGACCTTCTGCTAAGAATTTCTTATAAAAGTCCTTCCTCGTCTGTTGACACATAAGGACGCATCGACTGCGTTCGTCGTCCCTCGGTCGACAAGCCCGACCCATTATCTGCAGGACATCCATGACGGGATAGTCGACATATCGGTGCTCCTTTCCTTCGTAGTACTGCACGCCCATGATAATAACCATGTAGCTAGCGACAGGAATTGACCATGCCGTATCCTTTGACGCCACGAGCACCTGCACAGCTCCACTTTCAAACAGACGCTGGACGATGCGCTTGTCCTGCTTATCCATAGCTTCGTGGAAATAGCCGATACCTTTCTTTAATGTCTCCTTCAAACCTTCATCCCGCAGATGGTCAAGGTGAACCTGTATGTCTGCGACTTCGACATTAAGGAACCTGTCTGGCTTGTCATCCGCAGCACAGTGTATAAGCAGATCGTCGACAGTGAGGCGGCATTGTTTCCGGGAGGGAACAAAGACAATGACGGGTTTTGTGGGTGCATATTCAACGATGGCCAAGTATGCTGGCTTTGACATGGCGATCATGAGGGAGGGGAAGTGCGGTATTGTGAATGATTGCAGATGAATATCCATGTCCAGCGGTCGGGCACTAATCGAGAATAACCGATGAGTACAAGTCAAAAAGCGAAGGAGGCGCTTACCTAGGCGAGAAATTGAAGATAGCATGAGAAGGTGCACCCATCCATTCACCCAGATCGCGCGCGTTCGCAAGTGAAACACCACATGCGACGATGCGAGTCTTTACCTCTGTTTGCGCAGATACATACCGCGTCCTGGAAATGATGACCTCATATGTAGGCCCTACCTCTCCTCCAACAAGCTGCACCTCGTCAGCGATCAGAAGCCCGATATTCTGAACATTCTTCCGCTGACGCCACCGACGAGAAAGTACGTCCCACTAGCACAGCAGGCATAAATAAGATTAGCATAGTAAGATGAATGAAAAGGTACCTGAGAGGGAGTGCAGATAATCACGTCACCCTTTTCCAAAAGTCGCAGATCGGCACTGGTCTCGCCTGTAAGACTGACAATTTCCTTGCCTCCTTGAAGTCCCGAGAACTTGCCCTGCCATTCCTTCACCCGCTGATCAACCATTTCCTGGTATGGCTCAATACAAACAGCCCTTGGTTGTTCGCGCTTGCTCCATAGTCTGAGCAAAGCGAACTCGGCACAAACGGTCTTTCCGCTGCCTGTGGGTGCACCAATGAAAACATTCTCGTCCGACGTATACAGCGCTTGGAAGACTTGTGTCTGTATCTTGTTGAATGTTTCTATTGTGGAAGCGTAGATCTTCTCAAACTCCTTGTTGTGAAGGGCTGACAGCGGAAGAGGCTGAAGGTCCAAAAGAGGCGTAGGAGTAGGGAATTTTTCGGGAAGAATGAGATGCTTGAATGATATAGGAAGTCTGGTTTCGGAGTGAAGCCACCGGTCAGAGATGATGGAGATGTAATAGTTGGGAGGCACGGGCTCAAATATGGGAACCGTTAACGTGACGTTGTGTTCATCTTCAGCGTAGCGTTGGCGGAGAACAAAGGTATCATGAAAGAGAATGACCTCTCCATCGACATCTTCTACCATGATCAAAAAACTTTCGGCGCCACCATGAATCTTCTCATCCCAACGGAAATCAGGGGTGATCGAAAGATCGATACGCAGCAAGGAGCGAGTGATAGGTTGAACTTGAGCTTGAAGCCTGGCGATAATATCAGAACTCCTACTCATGATAAAGCAGTGATTTACATACTGAAGCTTAGGGAAGCTATGAACGAGTCGATGTACTAGTTTTCCAGCATTTGGTATCCCGATGAGCTCACCGATCTCAGGAGGAGTCTAAAAAGCACCACTTAACACTCAGAAATAGACTAAAAGTAGTAATGACTCACAAGATCAAAGTACCGATACCAGGGCTGTTAGTTCGAAGTTAGTTTGAATGTTTTCGTCACTTTTGGTGGAAGACATACAAATTGTTTACCCTCCGCTTTTCGTATAACTTCTGAAGGGACACCTTTGAATTGTCGAAGAGGCGTCATGGACCCCCACCTGATACAGTGAGTAAATATTAACGCTAAGGAACAACACTAGACATGGCTTACATTCGTTTTTCTACCATCTTGCAGAGGTCAAGAGCTGCCTTCGCAGGGACAGCCCATCCACGTTTCAGACATATTTCGAAGATCGCTCGAAGAATACTAGTAATCGATCAGCATACCTAAAAGTCGAAAGGGAAATAGACATACCGTCCAGCTGATTGCTGAACGAAAACCATGTCAGCGACAAGAACGAACCCTAAATGTATAAAGTTAGCTAACAAAGAACAAAGAGCGAATTAACGTACCATCAAGTTTCAGTTGAGAGATGTAAGCCTGAAGAAGAACGTTAATTTTGGCGGCCGGCTCCTCCACTGTTTCTTTCACGGGAATAGGGACACGCTCTAACAGCTTCCCAAGCTCTACCTTCTCTTCTTGACGGACCTAGAAAGCAGAATTAACACGACGTACTCTTTGGACTGATTGAACATACAGGTAAGAGCTTGAACTCGTTGGACAACGCGAACACACGGAATAGTTCTAGAGTCGACATTGTCGGCCTCAGATGCTGGTTGTACACCATCATCGAATTATATGTCACATAGTAATGCGACGCAATCCGTCCTAACTCGGTGCTTTGGAATCGCCCCGAAGACCGCTCATACTTCAACAGCTGACATTTCTCTAGTAAGGCGGCGGCAGAGTGGACGATATCTGCACGTTTTTGAATCAAACCAACATCGTCGTCCTGGTAATCGACACCGACACCATACAAACCTGGTGACCGAAGCATTCGCACATAACTTAAAAAAAGGTTTAGTTTGCAAAAGATATTCAGATTGAGAATGGCTTACAGATAGGTGTATCCCAGCCATTGAACAGCCTCATCGCGATTTCGGATGGTGCCCAAGACAATCTCGGCATTCAGGTTGTCGGCCAGCTTGGATACGAACTGAGACTCAATGGGCAACTGTTGGTTGAGTAAGCTCAGGTAGTACTGCAGCTCGGAATGGTTGGTAATGATGATGCCTTCACCATATGTGTCGTATTGAGGTCGGCCCGCACGTCCGAGCATTTGGAGCACATCCTGCGAAGATAACTCAACCCAACGACCCTTCTCCGGATTATAGATCTGCGTTCCCTTTATAATGACCGTATGGGCTGGTAAATTAACACCCCAGGCTAGCGTTGCAGTACACACGAGAACCTGAACAGAGCCGTCCGCAAACAGTTCCTCCACCAGGGAACGATCATCTCGTGACATACCAGCGTGATGGATAGCGAAACCGAAAGGAAGGAGATCGCGAAGGTTGGAATCCTTGACGTTGTTGGCTTCTTCCGTCAGAATTTCCCGCGTAGCGCCATCGGCTTTGACGAACTGAGTAATGGTCTCCTTCTCCACGGCCATATCCCTCAAGAACTTCGCTGTTTTCGCGGTCTCTTTTCGCGAATGCACAAAAACTAGAGTTTGATTCTTTCCAGCCTGGTCCAGGACTTTCTCGTAGCAGACTTCGTTCGTCACTTGGTACCGCTTGATCGCCTTTTTTTCGGTAACTCCGATGAACTGTTGCTGCAGCCCGCAAGGTCGGTACGATGCGTCGAAGTAGAAGAGTCCCCTCGATTCATCTACGCGAAGGAAAGTGGCTACATCTTGATAATTGGGGAGTGTGGCAGATAGCCCAACAAGACGCACATACTCGTTAGTTTGCTCCATGCGGCGGATCGTTCGTGCGATGATACTTTCCAGTACCGGACCACGTTCATCATGAAGCAGATGAATTTCATCGATGATGATGAGGCGAACGAGATTCGTATAACTAGTGTCAGTGCTTTTACGCGTCACAACGTCCCACTTCTCCGGAGTGGTGACGATGATCTGCGTCTCGGCAATCTGTTGCTTCGTCATTTGGGAGTCGCCCGTGAGTTCACCGACTTTGATACCAAACACTTTGAGCCTAGCGGTGAAGTTGCCAACCATCTCTTGGACCAATGCCTTCATGGGAGCAACATAAATGATTTTGAATGCATCAAGGTCGAAAGTGCCGGTAGCCTCGTCACGATACTTAGACAACTCATTCAGAATCGTAAGCATAGCAACATTGGTCTTATCAAAGAATAGTCAGTGACGAAGTCGGGATGCAATAGAGAGGCAAACCTTTCCAGCACCAGTAGGCGCGCAAAGTAGAATGGGCTCATCGGTGCCAAACGCAATAGGGTAGAGTTTGCTCTGAACGCGGTTAAGTTTGGGAACGGTAAACGCTTCTCGAGTCCAAGGTGGCATATCTGATATGGGAACCAGGTCGCCTTCAACAACAGGTTTCTGCTTCGGAGCCGGGACGTGAATCTCTTCGTAGCCTTTCTTGGCTCGTTTGAAGGAGCCGTCAGGGAGTTTACACTTTTTGTTGGACATGAGGTGACCACCCTGACTGAAGGCCATGCTCTCCAGATCCACAGTTCGCTTTGGCTGGACCGTCGTGCCAGGGGCCAATGTGGCAGTCTTGGGCACCTCGGGCTTGGTTTCATCGACGTCCATTGCATCTGATGGGCGCGCCTTCGTCTGACGATCCCCCGCTAGTTCGCGAAGAATCCAGCCCACACCTTTTTCGCGCATAGCAACTTCTACGTTGACACGCTCATCCGCGTCACTCCGCATGAGCTTGGTACACCAGATAATGATGTCGCGGTTTTTGAGGAATTTTGTCGTGATATGAAAACTCTGATAGTCGAAAAGCTCCATGAGTTGATTTTCACAGTCACGAAGGTTGGACTCTGAGCCGAGAATAGAAAGTACCGAGGAAGCTTTGTCGGCAGCGGTGACCGGGTCTGAGTACACTTCAGCGATCTGTCTCTGCACCCAGAAACCGTCAATGGAGTGCGGGGAGACGATGTCCTTGTCGGCCTTGGATTTTCCGGACTTTGACGATTCGCCGCCAATGACCAGCGCCTCTTCGCCAACTTCGCCCCCTTCCTGAGGCACGGCATCACCATCCCCGTCTTCTTCCTCGTCGTCGTCCGACTCATCTCTGATTTCAAACCCTTCCTCGTCTTCTTCTTCTTGCTCCTCCTCATCGAAGACTACAGCGACACCGACCTCATCATCAATCTCTGCATCCTTTCGCTCCATGTCAGGATCCAACATTGTCTCGTCCTCAGCGCCATAGTCGGTGATCTTCTTCGACAGAGTGACGAGCTGAGAGAACTGTTCACCGGTTATAGGTCCGATGACCTCTTCTATCTCCTTCTTCTTGTCAAAGTCCTTCATACCCTCATTCTTCAACGACTCTAGCACCGTGTCGGCAGCGCTTCGAACAATGTCTTGAGCCTGGTCACCAAGAGTGGTGTGAACAGAAGACAAGATGAGTTCATAGACCTCACGCGTTTCAGCAGTCCGCGGTCTGTACGTCAGACCCTCCACATCCTGCGTCGCTTCAATGATGTCCGCATATCCAAACCCAACTGTGTCGGCCTTGCGTTTAGCTACAGCCTTTTCTGAAGGATCTTGACGGTCCGCTGCCTTCTTTTTCTTCTTGTCTACGTCCTTGGGAGTCTCCCGGACGACACGGGAACCCATTTCTCGTGGATCTATGCGACCAGCCAGTGAAGTAGGCGCACCATCTGGTTCTCGGTCTCTACGAGGGAGTATAGACCGGTCCGCCGTGAGAACAAGCGATGAAATGGCACCATAGTTATACTGAGAAAGATCTTGCTTTTTGCCTTGTGCGCCAGACATGTTGGCCGTTGTCAGTGGCGACAACAAGAGTAAGTACTGGTCAGGCGTCTGAGTGGACCATGAAATTTCTTGCTGATGTAATCCTAGCCTTGTTTGGAATTTTCATTCTCACGCTTACCAAGTTCGTGACTTCGGGACAAACCTTTAATCAGTTGTAGCGAAATAAACACACAGATAGTGTCCTAGTTGGCCGTTACAGTGCTTCTATCCGAAAGCATCCACCCAGAGAATCTTACAGATCTGAATAAAACGTTGACTCACTGAAAACGGTTGTTTGCCTACTGTTAGTAATGGCTTGAATCGTAAATTCTTCGTTTTTAACTAAGTCATGTTATACAGTTCACATATATCAAAGAATGTCATTAACTACACTTCCACACCAAGCGAGCCCTTTTCTAGGTAACATATCTGAAATCCGGCGCCTTCAATGGGCCAAATGAACAAAAATCTGGGTGCTCGAGGTGAGATAACCAACCTTGTCAGCCACCTCACTAGTGTCGACCCGTACGTTGTAGTCCGGAATTCCGTAACAAATGTTTCGCCGTTTATTCTCAAGGCGGTACGAGAACTGAAAGTTGCCGGTTAACAGGTAGTACCACATGTTTGGATCCAAAATGACATACGTGTAGTATAATCGCACAAATAGCAGCTAAGAATTCAAGCGCACACGAAACTGATTATAATGAATATTTATATGTCGTTTATGAGGGAAAAAACTTACTTGCAAATCCTTTTCTGTACCAGGACAATAGGTGAGAAAAGATCAATGAGGAGGTAAGGTGGACGTACGTATACTCGGGACCCTCAGTTTCGGGGAAGATATGTGATCCCAGCACGCTACCACATTGTCCGATTGCCATAAACATTGGAATACCTGTTGCCCTCTTCGTTTCAGAACCAAGATTGTGCGCGACTACATTAACCGTACCATTTCAGCATCAGTGAAGCGACACAGAAACGAAACTTACACCAGGCAATAATGAGGCCAATGGTAGTATATGTCCCGCTGGTAATGCAGAATGTGGCGAAGTATCTTACATGATTGTTTGAGGATACAGTCAGAAGTAAACTGAAGAACTTGTTAACAGGTGAAAGGTGCCAAACGATGTTAAAAAAAATACAGGTATCCAATGGCACCGATGGTAGATGCAACGGCCATGAAACAGCCCCTCGTTTGGAGGCGGTCGGATGCGTAGGAGAAAAGTGTCAATACGACGGCAGAAACAGCATAGGGAGGTACTGTGAGGAGTTGTGCAACGGCCGCGGCTAGAAAGCAAGTAGCAGCCTTATAATCACCCGGAACAAAAATATACTGACTGTTTCCGAAAGTTTGGATAATAGTCGGTAAGAAGGCTGAAATCGACGCCAAAGCACAATTGAGACCGAAATAGATGACACCACCTGTATAGATCTTCCTCTTACACTCAGCGTTGTCATTCCATGGAAAGCACAGTGCCTTACCCTCCAGTCACGGAAAGCCATCCATATATGCGCTGTAGCAGTGGTTAAACCCACACTAGAGATCCCGGCGTAAGATCGAACCTTTGTTAACAACGTTCCCGACATCTCCACTTGCACTTCTGTTCATTCTGGCGATAGCGAGCTCCCTTTCCCTACTATTGAAGAGATGTGTTACTTCAGGCCGATTCGGAAGCGAAAAGAAACTGATAATTCCAAGGATGATGGTAGGGACACCCTGTAATTTGAATAGAATTAACGGAAATGCAAAGGAAAGATAGCGAGTGGCATACCTCTACTATGAGCAACAGTCTCCAATGCGCGATCGTGACGTTCGACATTGATATTCCGAAGGCTATGAGTCCCCCGAAAGCGCCAGAAACAGCAGCGAAGCCAAACCAGTAAGCCATCTATGTGCTATTGAGTCTGGGATTGGTTATTGTATAAAATTCGGACTAACCCGTAAACCCATTTCTTCTCTGGTGTAGAAGAGCGCTTTATTACAGGTCAACTCACAACTCTGCGTGGAAAACAAGTGTTAACTCACAGAAATACAACGGTATACCAGGCCCGAAACCCGCTTCGAAGATCCCCAAAAACACCCTCGCAGTGAACAAGCCGCCGAAGTTAAATGCTGTCGACTAGGCAATCATGACCATCCGACAAGCCGAGCTGATACCGATATTAATTGCGCTCACCATAAGGGTGGACGACAAACCCCATCCCACAGCAGCTCCTGCAAGCCAGTAATGCGGTGGAACAAGCTTGGAGACAATTGTAGCAGGGATTTGGCATATAATCTGACGCATACATCTATCAATCTTCAAGGAAGAAGCAATCGTCACAAATACTCACATATGAAAAATAGAAAGCCGAAGTTATCCAGTCAAAAAGTACGCCGGTGGGGTCGCCGTTGAGGATATCCTGGGGGAGACCCTGGAGACGCGCATTTCCGAGATTTGAACGGTCGAGATCTAAATGATTGCAGTTCAGAAAAGTTTAACTTGACCTGGGAGAAAAGGTATACACGCGAACAGATAGAGAAGACAAGCCAGCGGGAGGATACGTCCATCAAGCCTGCGTACGAGCCTCCGTTCTTCGGTCCGTAAAACAATCTTCATCTCATCCTCGGCAGCAGGAATGCTCTCGATTAGCTTTTCGGACAATTTGGTTTCTTCATCCTTGACGTGATCACTTGGCGGAGACATCCAATGGAGGAAAGAGAGAAATAAAGATAAGTGCGTGGACCTGAAGGAAGAAGGACAACCTTACTGGTAACGACAAGTCTTTTATAGGCAAAAACTACGACATCTCAAGTACCCAAGGTCTCATGACCATCCATGTGGAATAGCTCTCTAAATTTCGAAGTCATCCACCGACCTGGCACGCATTCGATAAATGGAACGAACGAATCAACCATGTGACAAATCAAACCATCCCCTCAGGCTGCCTGCCACCTGCGCGCTCTCTTCTGGGTTTCAGCCTTTTCCCGCGTTCAACTTATTTGGTTAGCATTCGGAATTGGGAATGTTGAAGGACGCTTGTTGAAAAGACTTGAAGGGCATTAATGGGCTGACACGGAACGGCTGCGATCAGATCAAGAATGACCTTGAGAACAAAGAGAATGTGGGGGAATGCTTCTCGGAACAAGATGATGGTGGCTAAATATATCTCTCGTCCATCACGGGTATACGCTTCAGTACTAGCGTTCAACAAATGTGCATCAGAGGCGCAGGTGAATTGAGTTTTACGCTCGGTTTCACGGCAGATATCCGCTGTCGGCCGATTTTTGTGAGAGATTTGAAGCACAGATGGAGAATTAGGTTTTTGACAGGGCGGCAGACGAATGGCGGTCAGTTATGTGCCAGGCACAACGACAGAGTAAGGCTTGGACTATAGAACTCAGTGCGCCATGAAACATGGCATATAGTAACCATCGGATTTTCGGATTGGTGTTATGAAAGAGCGTGGAGGTCATCTTCAATGTAAAACTCGGAATGCCCCTGTCAGATTTCAATTCTTTTCGGCGAGAGTGATTCAGAGACGGATATTGAGCTGGAGCAAATACATAGACGCTAGCTATGCGAAGACCTGGGACAATACAGAGGGAGACCGCGCTTCCACAACGAATACAGAAGACCCACTTGAGCTAATGAGCACAGGGCGATGTTGACAGATCCATACAGCTGCGAGGTCATTCGAAGAGTTCGAATATACGGCACTTTCTCCATCGGCAAGGATATCAAGGGCGTTTCCGTCTATTTTCGAAAGGAAGAGAATGGACACACATGCTCGGTCAGCTCACTTGGGTTTTCGTTCCCTATCAGCAAGTTTATCCATCACTCCAGCGCTCAGGTAGTGCTTTGTAAGAAACTCTTCGGTCCGGAAATCGACGTCAGCGACGCGCCGGTACAGAAGTACAAACTTTCCGGTGTCTGTAAACATCCCCTGACTGTCCAAATCAACTTGTAGTTTTTTGGGCGACATGAAATCTGTAGTAAGACTGATTCCACGAATGTGACTCTACAGCGTTCAAATTCCATACCAGTGGCAGATGATCACCCCCGGGTAAGCGCGGCTCACGCCCAAGCACAAACAAGGTCGTTTGTCAAACCATGAACACCGAGGTATTGGGATCACTCTAGTAATCGACAGAAAATTAGAGCGTGATGAAAAGAGAAAGGAAATAATAGGATGTAGACCAAAACTTTGGGTTCATCATGGATAGAGATAGGTCTTCAGCGTGACGGACAACTTGCAGCAAAGGTCGCACGAAATTCCGGGCCGGTGTTCTCAGGACCCAAAGTTACTCTGGTATCTTTTCTAAATTTACGAGGGGAATGGGAACGATTCAGGTTTCAGAGCTGCACCCATGAATGGAACACCTACACATGACATCTGGACGATGATGGTTGTCAGTCGTGTGAATGGATTACACACCCGGAAAGCCGCTGAGGTCCGCATTATCGTTGCATGGTTGAGGAACGCATGGGGCTGAGCGGTGCTTTCTTGTCTCCCTTCACAGTGTAGTTTCCATCGTTGGTAAGGAGATAGTCGCGGATGCCATATTCAGTTGCATACAATGTTAGGACGTCTATATTCTGTGAGATATGGATAAGATGATGGTACCTACTCCCCACGCAATGAGTGCTTGCCGAGTTGAGCGAATATAGCTGGTTCACCGTGAGGGTTGTCCCAGGACTCGGGGAAAATCACTGTTAGATACCGGGCTTACATTTTGAATCTTTCGAAGGGAGGGAGGCTTTGAAAATTTGTATTGAAGCTCATACCATTTCGTATTTCTGCGTTTGTTTGACTTGACTCTTGTTTGATTTTCTTGGTGTAAATGAGTACGCGTCACAAATTTATATGAAGGGCGAAACTTACTCAATACAAGTCGAGGAATGAGGGCATGTCACAGTCCACGTTGACCGACGACTGGAGGATGTTGACATACGGTACGACGGATTGGATCGTCCTAAACGACACCAACCAATAGGCTTGCTTCCTTTGTACCGCAGAAATGAGTCAATACACAAAGCAGGGTCTCTGGAGCTTGGAGGATAACTCGACTAGCTGACCAAGTTGGGGGGCCACGACGATAGGTCAAAATATCTTCGAGTCCAACGCGTGGATTAACGTCGCTCGCGTGTAGTGTCACGACTCACCCAGTCGGTGCAGCCCTGCTAGGGTTCTTGTCAAGCATCTTTAAGAGGAGAGTGTGGTCCTGCTCTGTCCTTAGAGGTAATTAGTACATATATTTCATAGACTGATGTAATCCTGGGAAACAAGATTGACTGCGAAGGTAAAGTTTAATGATGCATCCCATACCTGTACATCATGTTGGTTACACCCAAACAGGCCTTAGGTGCGAAGGACAGAGGCAATTGGCCTTGAGCCCCGTATTTAAAGGGGTCTTTGTTAGTGCCTCATCAGGAACAGCAGACGATACGATATAAATTACCGCAGCAGGATGTTGATAGCACCTAATAGAAAGCAAAGAACCGGGTGAAGGAAACGACCGACGCTTCGCATCCCTGAATTTGTATTATAGGTGGAGCATCTTCAGAGAGAGTAGGCGCATAGCCTCCAGTCTTTGTCCATTCGTAGTGCTAATTAATTCGATCGTCCACGCTCGTATACATTGATCCACAGGTTCGTGCCACCACCTTAATACACAGACTCATACCATTGTAGAGACAGCAGGGGGGATAAATCAAGACACGCCGAAGCCGTCATGATATGACGGTCCCCGGAAGAAATGAACCCTCGTCGCTCTATTACCTATCTTCGAGACTAAGCTTCCCGAACTCAATGATACGCTGAAGCCCGCCTTACGAACATTTGATACGGATGTGTTAAAGTACCGCTGTGACAGGTGGAAGATCTCTCCCGCCTTATGAAAGGGCCATTGAGACCGATGCGTGAATTGTTCCCCCGGGAAAGGCTGCGAACTGATGAAACTTGCAATGTCGGTTTCTGTACAAAGAAGCGAGAATTACGTCAGGGCGCTTCACAGCATTCGGTTGCATCATAGGAAATCAGTAACGACAAGCAAGGTTTCAATATACGTCCATACAGCACAGCTGTGTGAGGCTTGACGCGCTGGGTGGCGGTACTGCCAATAAAGCTGTGCAAAGCACAAGAATGGTCCTATTTGTCCTTGCTTGCCGATTCTGGCGTTACCAGTGCTGACCTATAAAGGAACCCAATAAAGAGCGCGTTTCAACCATTCTCTTCTCCCAACTTCCATCTCGCAACGATCTGCCAACTCTCAACGACCGCCTTTTTCTGGTTAGTTAGTGTATACGGGAACTTCAGTATGATGCTGACGATCCGCCTCATCACCAGTTCAATCTCTTTATATCACCCTTTAATTGACGATGTGTGGAATATTCGCCTACTGCAACTTCTTGAAGGAAAAGGCGAGTCTTGTTTGCTTCTTTGCTCGTGATGGTACACAATCATCTCTAAATGATGCTGATGACGGGTTTACCCCCGTCTTGCTGAGGACACGTACTTCCAGCAGCATTTGGTGCCGGGCTGGGGCTGATGGTCGTGATCTTCCATGCTGACACTATTTTCATCAACAGCGTCGTCAAGAGGTCCTTGAGATCCTTTGTGGTGGTCTCGCCCGCCAGGAGTACCGAGGCTATGACTCAGCTGGGCTGGGCATTGATGGTGACAAGCCTGGCGAGGTCGTTTTCTTCAAGGAGGTTGGAAAAGTAGCTGGTCTCCGAAAACAGATTGCCGGAACCGTCATGGATTACAACAAAACCTTTGATTCTCAAGTCTCCATCGCACACACTCGGTGGGCAACGCACGGACCTCCTTCGCGTGTCAACTGCCATCCCATCCGCTCCGATGAGAAGGCCGATTTCATTGTCGTTCACAACGGCATCGTCACCAACAGCGGCGAGCTTCGCGCTGTCCTCCAAAAGCGTGGCTACGAATTCGAGACCGAGACCGACACGGAAGCTGTTGCCAAGCTCCTGAAGTATGTTTATGATTCGGCGTCTAAGCGCCTCTCTTTCACCGATCTTGTCAAGTTGGTATTGATGGAGCTTGAGGGCTCCTTTGCATTCGTTTTCAAGTCGACACACTTCCCCAACGAGGTCGTGACGGCCCGCCGTGGTTCCCCTCTTCTCATCGGTGTTAAGACCGACAGGAAGCTCAAGGTCGACTTCGTTGATGTTGAGTTCGCACGGGACCCTAGTCAAGCCTCCATTCGTGAGTACCGTGTCTCATGGTTTTTGCGTCTTTTGTTCATCCATGTCTAGTCCAAGCTACCTCGCCCACCTCCAGCACCTCTTCCCTCGCACCTCCCACTGCCAAACCTGCCGCCCTTAGCCGACAGTCCCGTGGCTTCATGTCGGAAGATGGCCTTCCTCAACCCATCGAATTTTTCATCGCTTCTGATGCCGCTGCTGTTGTTGAGCACACCAAACGCGTTCTCTACCTCGAAGATGACGACATCGCCCACATCGCTGAAGGAGAACTCCACATTCACCGTCTCCGCCGCAAGGAGGATGCCAACCAGACCCCTGGTCAGATCGCTTCCACCCGAAGCATCGAAACGCTCGAGATCGAAATCGCTGCCATCATGAAGGGCAAATTTGACACCTTCATGCAGAAGGAAATATATGAGCAGCCAGAGTCTGTAGTCAACACCATGCGTGGGCGTGTCAACTTTGACAGTAACAAGATTACACTCGGTGGTTTACGCGAGTATCTGCCCATCATACGTCGTGGCCGTAGAATCGTCTTCATCGCTTGTGGCACCAGCTATCATTCCTGCCTCGCTACTCGCGCCATATTCGAAGAGTTGACTGAGATCCCCGTCAGTGTCGAGTTAGCTAGTGACTTTTTGGATCGCAAGACGCCTATCTTCAGAGATGACATTTGTATCTTCTTGAGTCAAAGTGGCGAGACTGCGGACACGATCTTGGCGTTGCGGTACTGTACGGAACGTGGGGCGCTCTGCGTCGGTGTTGTTAACACTGTCGGTTCCACCATCTCTCGGGAGACCCACTGTGGTGTTCACATTAATGCCGGTCCTGAAGTCGGCGTTGCTTCCACAAAAGTAGGTTTCGCTCATTCCCTTAGGTATTCTTGCTGATTGACATCTACTAGGCGTATACGTCTCAATACATCGCTTTGCTGATGATGGCTCTCCAACTTTCGGAAGATCGTATCTCTTTCACAGAACGTCGCAACCGGATCATTGACGGTCTCCATGCCATGCCTTCCCAGATCAAGCGTGTACTGGAACTAGACTCCCAGCTTCAACAGCTGGCCAGCACGGTTGCCGACAACAAGAGTTTGTTGATCATGGGTAGAGGATACCAGTATGTCGTAACTTATTCCTGTCTTTTTTTCGGTATTTTTATTCGGTCTCTTTTCAGATACGCCACATGTCTTGAGGGTGCCCTCAAAATCAAGGAAATCAGTTATATGCACTCTGAGGGTACGTCATGATGGGCCGAATGATGGCAACACTGATTAACGAACTCTTGCCCTAGGTATACTTGCTGGAGAGCTCAAGCATGGCCCCCTGGCTCTGATTGACGAGAACATGCCCGTCATCATCATAATGACACAAGACTCCCTCTATCCCAAGGTTCAGTCTGCATTCGCACAGATAACGGCCCGGAAGGCCCAGCCCATCGTTCTTTGCACAGAAGACGACGATGGTATCCCCAAGGGTGCCAAGACGATCCGTGTCCCGAAGACCACTGATTGTCTACAGGGACTGTTAAATATCATTCCCCTCCAGTTGCTCAGTTACCACCTGGCTGTGAAGAACGGATGTGATGTTGATTTCCCCAGGAACTTGTAAGTCTCCACCAATATTGGACCTATCGCTTCTAATCGTGCAATGTTCAGGGCAAAATCAGTCACTGTCGAGTAAGGAGAGACCGGAGATAGATTTTACACTCTTTTTGAACGCGGACTAGAAAATTACTGTACTTTATGTCGCGGACTCTGGCATGATTAGTTTTGTGGTAGATAGTAAAACCAGATTGGACACTTAAGCATTGACTCGAGAATACATACCTTCTTCCATTGACTGGCAGCTACTTTTTAATTTGCATTCGTGGTACTGGGAACCGGGTGTTGATGCGAACCAAGTCCAATCTTTCTTTCTCCTTTCCTTTTCGATTATCTCGTACAATGTCCCAAGACTCTCAACCACCACTGCATCCATTGTCTCTCTCCATTCCCCGCGGTGCTGAGCAAATGATGTCTCTTTTTCAATCCGAAAAGGCCCGGGCTATCGCGGAAGCACATAATCAATTCTTAGACCTGCAGCGTCGGTATACCGAGCTAGAACAGCTCTCGCTGCAGCACCACCGAGTCACAGAGAAAAGTCTCGCCGATGCCCTCCATAGAGAGACCAATCTCCACGCTCTACTCACTCAAATGTCTGGTGAACTAGAGGCTGTAAAGGGTATCATCGCCGCAGTGCCGGGCATGCACTATGAGATGAACGAGCAGACTGGACAGAGGGTATTGACTTGTTACGAGGTTTGGCGACCTCATCTACAAAATTCGGTCAATGGAGTGACGCTCAACTGGATTCCGACTGAAGATGGTGGATACGGACAACCACCATCGACATCGGGAGGGACTCGTCATGCCAATTTTGTAGATATCGTCCATGTGTCGGCGATGTCTTTCCATTGAAGGGAAGGATTTAGGTTAGTACCTTCGAGTTCTTTCGTGCGGCATCGTGGGCTAATACAAACTTGGCTGCTAGACAGATGTACTACAGGGTCGGGTCTTTCCCCGTTCTAATGCTTTCTTCGCGCTGCCATGCTATTCTACCGATTTCGCCCTCCTTGAACTCCCCACTATTGCAAACGTATACATTCTTGTAATATTGACGTCTGAATCGTACAGGACCTTGATCATTTCAATCGCTATCCCCTGGTTCTTCTACCTGTCCCCGCCGACATCTTCCTTCGCCGTGGACACTCGCAAGTAATTATGTTTGAGATATCCATCCGGATGCAGAGTATTATAGCGACGTAACTCTCGTACATATTAACCGCCACCTTGCCGTTTCAAAAACTCTTTGAATAATACGACGGACTGATTGAACATACAGGTAAGAGCTTGAACTCTTTGAATAACGCGAATACACGGAATAGCTCCAGAGTCGACTTGGACTTTCTTCGCCTCAGATACTAGTGGTCACATAGTATGGCGACGCGATCCTCCCTAACTCCGTGCTCTGATGGTCACCGAAGCATTCACACAGAACGGATGTCACTGAGGAATACCAAAAGTGGTTGGTGGAGAATGATAAATAAATCGGTGTGTTTTCATGGCTTTGGGTTTCACGGTTTCTGATGATTCATTTGATAAGCTAAATGGCTTGACAGGTTACGGAAAATGAGGAATCGGACTGTTGATGGATCTCCGTAATTGTGCAATTGTACTGTATCCATGGAAGTGAATTATCAATGCTGGAAAACGAGTACATCGACTCGTTCATAGCTTCCCTAAGCTTCAGTATGTCAATCACCTTCTTTATCATGAGTAGGAGTTCTGATATTATCGCCAGGCTTCAAGCTCAAGTTCAACCTATCACTCGCTCCTTGCTGCGTATCGATCGATCTTTCGATCATTCCTGTTTCCGTGGGACGAGAAGATTGATGGCGGTGCCGAAAGTTTTTTGATCATGGTAGAAGATGTCGATGGAGAGGTCATTCTCTTTCATGATACCTTTGTTCTCCGCCAACGCTACGCTGAAGATGAACACAACGTCACGTTAACGGTTCCCATATTTGAGCCCGTGCCTCCCAACTATTACATCTCCATCATCCCTGACCAGTGGCTTCACTCCGAAACCAGACTTCCTATATCATTCAAGCCTCATTCTTCCCAAAAATCTTCCCCCCCTTATGCGCCTTTCAGATCTTCAGCCTCTTCCGCTATCAGCCCTCCACAACAAGGAGTTTGAGAACTGCACAATAGAAACTTTCAACAGGAGAAGGTGCTGTATCTGTCACACCATTGATGCTCCGACCTGCAGCGGAAAGACCGTTCTTTTGTATCGACTTCCTGAAAAATGAATCCGACTAGTACAGTCATTGCAGCAATATATATATATATCTACCTAACAGAGATGATCGTGTTGGAAAGGCAAAATATGTAAAGTATCATGTCAAAAGACTTCTACCGTTGTTAATATGTAGATGAGCAGTCGCAGCCCTGACGCCAAAAAACGTGGTAGACACGACTTGAAATACTGTACATGATTTTACTAGATCTTTTGGGCCGTTTCCATCTTGACGAACCCGTCGATAGTATCAAGAAGACACTGTTCGAATGAGATCCACTTGATTCCAAGCTCAGTCTCTGCGATAGAAACGTCGATTTTGGCCGTCGGGTCCCTAACTTTTTCAACAACATCTAACGATGGTAAGCGGTGAGCAAAATTCGGCCGTTTCTCCCTTAGGATATTCACCGCCTAAGTGACACATTAGCCGGCGGACCTCCGGATGAACCAATACTATACCTCATAAAATGTGTACATGCCACCATTGACAAGTACCCTTTTCCCGATGACCGAATCGACCTTCAGAGCTTTGACGTGGAGCGCGGCAACATCTCTCACGTCAGTGTATGCAGGTAACCCTGTCTCCTCCAGTTTGCCGCTGATGAGATTGTATATATCCTGGGATGAGGTATTCAAGGCCGACAGGTCAGCAGGTAGGACAAGGGGACCATATATCATGGTAGCTAAATGGAGAATGAATGGAGCGGCAGTGGAGATAGTGTAGGGACGTGCGTACGACTCATTACGGTAATGCGCATCTCGGGATGCTCGCGGTCGAATTCAAAGGCGGCCTCTTCGGCGATCTTCTTGGAAACAGCGTAAACACCCACTCCAGGAAGCGCGCCAGAAACAGCCAGCTCGTAGGTTAGAGGGTTCCTGGTGTCTCAGTAAGTCTATATTGTTACCTTGACAGAACTGCTGCGCCATACCAGTCCTCTGCAGTACAGGTATATTCACGCCAAAGACCTGAATCAGAAGGTTATACAGATCGACGGTAAACCGATACAGGCAGCTTACCACCCTTGGTTGGGTCAATGACTGCAGCGATGCTTCCTGTTACAATAACGCGTCGGACACCATGCTTGAGACATGCTTCCAGAACCTTGAGCGTCCCCTGCCTCGCGGGATCAAGAAGGTCCTTTTTAGGATCGTCTACACTCCGGATGAAAGGCGATGCCACGTGAATAACGGCACTTATACCTTGGGCGAAGTAAGACCCCACAGTCAATGTATAACCTGAAAATGGGAGGCACCTTTCAAAGCCTCGGAGTAATCTCCATTCATCAAATCTGGCACCACTGCCGTATCGAATCTATTACCATAGGATGACCAGCAAGTGAGGACTTCTTGGGCCTTGGACGGCGATCTCACGGTCCTGCAAGGCCCCGGTTAGCACGATAGCCGTTCAGGAACGAACTCGGAACTAACCCCCGAACTGAGTACCCACTCTCAAGGGCTTTGACAACAACATGGCTGCCCAAAAAACCTGTTGCGCCAGTGACCTGCTACGGTGAGCGCGACATCAAGGACATTATAAAGGATCGCATACCAGAATCCTTTCTGAAGCCATAGATGAATACATGTCTGTAACTTTGAAATCAGTGGCGCTGCTACTTTATAGGCATCGAGAATGACTCGGGCAGGCACTCCGATCGATTACATTCCTCTTACAAAATAGGCCGTCCGGCACAGTCATACTTCGGTCGGATTCCTAAGCCATGCTCAATTGCATTGGAGTATGTGAGACATTTAAAAAGAAGGAAAAACGCAACCGATGCTCCAATTCAGAAGCAACCATGCCTCTTCATCGATTTTATGTCCCCCCTAACCTTTACTCGGACGAGGACAAGCAGACTCTGTCCAAAGCTATCACGAACCAATACACCAGAACTGGTCTCCCCGAGTTCTACGTCGTAGTTCTCTTTGTCGAGGTTCCCAGACAAGGTTATTTCGTCGGTGGAAAGGCAACAGACAATTTTGTCCGCGTAGTAGTCCATCACCTTGCGAAACAGTTCGCGACGTATGTGTTTATTGACTTTGACATACTGACTTGTTGATAATGTCTGGATACGCACATAGTGATGAAGACAAGGCCAGATTCATGAACGCGTACGAGCAGACGATAGCGCCATTTACCAAAGCCCGCGGCGTTGACTGGGAAGTTGAAGTAATCGATTCCGACGTAAGTCCTCCGCTTTCAGATTGGCGCGTCCATGCTTATCCAGTCATAAGCCACAACTGTGGAGGGAGAATGGAATCATACCTCCTCATGCAGTGAATAACACCGAGATTGCGTTGCTTTGGGCCAAGGAGAATAGACCGGTCCCGTACTACTAAGAAGGCAGAGCCTGACAGTGGAGATGTTGGCATGTATATAGTTCCCAGCAGATGGTGTAGCGTCTTTCCAGAAAGAATACTTGCGTAACAGTTGTCCGAGTGAGTTATGTACCTCTTAACACCACTTATGAAGGTATCGACAATCCACAAGCGAATCCGATAGATATTCGTGCTAATTCTGGACGTGGACGGTGATAGTCGTACATGAGAAAGTCATCGGACCAATAGTGGCTACCGCTTTATCCTCTTTCCGTCTGGCTCCAATGATAATGTGCCTAGGGGTGTCCTCGTACTCGAAGTGTTGCTCAAACCCATCCCCGGGCCAGGTTTCCTTCTGAGAAAACGTTATATCTGAGTCAGCAAGAACAGCAGAGAGGCACTCACGGAGCCCCATCGGCGTTTCGCTTCACACCACTATGTATTGGAAGTCCAAGAGGATTCTAGGAGGCAGTGTTAGCGATGCTTACATGCCGGAAAATTGGATGAACATACTATCGTCCCCGTCGGAAACCGAAACCCACCCGTCGGAGTGTCAGGTCGTCTTTGTGGATTATGAACGCTTTGCTGCGCTGTCGGGTGCTGTTGATAGGAGTTGATGAGCGCAACTCGATTCTGATTTTGCTGCTGTCGTTCTACAGATGTCCGCGGTATAATAAGCTTAGGATTGGAGGGTGGTATTGTAGCTCGCTCTCCCAGGACACTTCGCTCTGCGGAATGGCCTTCGATTTCAGCTTTGATAGCGGCCAGTCGGTTCTGCTTCTGTTGTTGATGCTGTGCTCCACTGCGTGCAGATGCTAGCACTGTTGGTTTGTCCTCTCTTCCACCATTAAACAGCTCCCCAACTACACTACGATCCACATCCTCGAATCGCACGTTGTCTCTTATGCTCTCGTCGTCGAACTCTTCACCCTCACACAAGATGGGCCTTCCCATATCTCCTTCACCAAGATCCACTGTGGCGAGAAATGCGTCATCTTCAGAACCGAACATGAATGAATCATCGCCCTCAGGCTCAATCGCTGATAAAGTTGACGAAGACGCAGCATTAGTATTGATGTTCCCCTTGCCAGAGGAGGAATTGTCATTCGGCTGGTGCAGTGTCGTTATAGGCATATTTATCTGTGGATAAGGTTTCGGAGCCGGGGCTTTAAAGGTAGCACATGCTGGTTGGGGCGGTCTATGCTGTTGCGGCACCGCGGCATTCTGTGGTGGCCGTTGTGGTTGTTGATGGAGAGAAGTTCGTTGCGGTTGCGGGGGAATACATGCTTGTTGTAGAGCTGGTGCATGCTGTGGTTGTTGTTGAGGCGTCGGTGCGCGTTGTTGTACGGGTGCATTCGTCTGTGGTTGGGGTGGATTACTTGGTGGCGGTGGTTGTGATTCAGCAAATTCTGGTCTTCGATGCAGCTGTGATTTGTCAAATTTAGGCTACGACTCTGTTAGCATGTATGGTATCAGTTGTCACGAACAGACCATGCGTACCGGCTGGACTTTGATCTTAGTGACTTCTTGGGTGTATCCTTTGTCATATAAGCAGTTTCCCAAAAGATTTCCAAAATTTCTGAGAGCACGCTTGAGACCATCCGTAACAGCCTCTTTCTTGCACTGGATGATCATGAGATGAGCAAAAGAAACATGAACGGAGAGCTCACTTTATCCAGACCCTGCCCTTTACTCTTCGTATTCTCTATCGTTCCATATCCAATATCTTCATGAAATGACCCGCTAGTCACCAAAGTCACCCGTACAATAGCCGTGATACCAATGCTGTACCTGCGTGTCGTCTCGTCGAAGTCCATAAATTCGGTGCTCATCGTGACGATACTTGAGCTCCACCCATCAAATCCGAAGACCTCATTGGCAAGATTGATTATCTTCCAGCCCTCTGCATATGTGAGCTTTGGCCCTCCACCTGGACCTGGTCGAGTGGAAATGTATTCAGGACCGAGCTTTTGAGTCAGTTTTTGTTGAAGAATCGGAGGATCGTAAGGTGGGTGAGATGAGGAAGAGGCAACACTGGAGGAGCCGTGCATCGATGGGTCAAACGATAGAGATCCGGACGTCGTACTGGGGTTCGGCGTAACCATGTTGCTTGATAGAGATTTTTCGTAACAATCAATGATATGACCACTGAAGGCCCCAGCCATTCAATATCTGTTTTTGTGCCAGTTGCAGGGCCGCGTCGTTGAAACAATCGACGTCAAACAAGAAAATAGGACGTGGTGGTCGGAAACAAAGAGTGCAGAAGACACGATGACGTTACGCCCGTGACGCCCCGGCCCGCGTTTAATGCACGTGATCGTTTTTTCAGAATTACTTTTTATTTATTTATCTCCAAAAATCTTACTATAACCACCTCTGAAAATGTTCCAATACTCTGAGCATCACATCTTCAGCGTGTTTTTTCTCGACGAACCTAAGGACGTCAGTTTTCGTTGCGTGAAGATGTTTTATGACTACTTACCCATGCGGTTCTCTCGGGTACACTATCATCTCAACTCGATCTTTACAGGGACCTTCGGTCCTCTTCAAACTTCTGTATAGTCCGATGCCTTGGCCGAGCGGAACGCGCTCGTCTTTTTCGCCATGTAAAATCAAAACTGCCGTGGTTACTCCGCTTACTTGTTGTATAGGACTCTCCTTCCTGGAAGTCCCGTTCAGTCGCCCTTCCCAAGGCGAAATGCCCCCAAGCGCTCCCTGAAGAGATCCATGGATGTCGTTTCTGAATATTTCTTTGGACAACATACCTCTAGCTCTGGCGAAGCAGCTTCCATTACCATGCTTTCCCAGTTGGAAACGCCAGCCCCCACAACAGCTGCTTTGAACATAGTCTTCGTTTGGGTCACCCCCCACGCTGTCAATGACCCTCCTTTTGGAATTTAATTACCGGGATGTATTGCAGAGCAAGAAACGTTTACCGTGACTCCATCCTGCTACGGCTAGCCTATCTGGATTAGCAAGGCCGCGGGTGACTATCTCATCGACCATGCTCTCGCAATCGGGCCAATCAAAGGTACCGATACCACAAGAAGCGGCATGAGCAAAACTATGGCCTTTTCCTTGACCTTGAATACGGCGATCAGTCGTGGAAGTGTAGCGGCGTCCATTCTCCCTCACTTCCTCGGTAATTAGGCGAGATTACAAGATATCCGGCGGACGCGAGCATCTCCCGCCAATTGCAGAAATAGGGCATATAATCTACTTGTTTATCAGTGAGCCGTTCTACAGCTCTTCTCGTAATATCTACTAACCTGGGACGTCCCGGCTAAATTAGGCTCATCATCAGCGAGATGTCGAAAACAAGAATAATGCCCACCGGTATGGCCCTCCATGGAGGAACAAGATAGTTGGCAGGGCACAAGCGCTCCTTTGGTCAATGCCTGGGGGATATCTTACCAAGCCACTGAGTTCCACGCCGTCTCTGCTTTTCCATCGAATGACCTCAGTCTTTATCTGCGGTGCATCAGTAAGCCACTGCAAATGGGATGATAACTGCTTCCTTCTGCCCGTGCAGCACCCTTTCTCGTCATCGACGCGAACAGACCACACATTTGGCGCCTCGTGCCGTATGCCAGAGCTCAGCACCGCGGCAAACACGTACGAGACACCTGTCCGATTGCGTATTCTTTTGGCGTCCCATGCCCCAAACCATATGGCTTCATCCTGCGTTTGGAAAAGCTGACGAACATCTACCACCTTATTCTCGTCACCGTTGGATGAAGAAAATGAAATCCCGTCAATTCGTGTGTCAGTGTCAGAAGATACTTCGACAGCTATCATCCCGTTACTGGTATCATCGCTGTGATTTGTCATATCGACGATCCGGATGGCATCCTCTGTCGCACCATACAACTTCCGCACCGATGCCCTCTGATCCGCCCCTTGACGAATGTACAGTGTTCGCGCATCAAGGATATTGGCTACCTCATAGCTTTGCAGGGCCAGGATGTGGCCTGAACTGAGCCAAATATTTGGTCCAGAGGGCGAGCGGGGGTACGCGTCAATTGTTTCAGGCGCGTCTTGAGAAGCAACGGATACCTTTTCCAGCAACACCTCCCGTTCGGCTGCCTCCAGCCCTCTGTCCTCCCGTAACCTATGAAGTAATTCCTTGCTGTCTGGACTCCACGTGAAGCTTTCGACATGTCGATCCTTTCGTATGTGGTTCATGGATGATACTTCTCCTGTGATCAGATTGAGCAGAAAAAGGCGCGATAACCCCCGCTTATCCCCAATCCGCCTTGCATCATCTCTATCCTCTCGAGCGGGCCCGTCATTTGTAGACGTGAAAGCTATATATGTCCCGTCAGGCGACACCTGGAACTGCTGTACACCCTTCCTCACGGGTTCTACCATCAAATGCATTGGCTCTTCGTCTTCAGTTAGCCTCAAAGAGTAGAGGCTTCCTCCCTTCCCCGGACTAAATCGGTCGGAGAGAAAAATAATCATGTTGGAGTCGAATGGATGAAATACGCCTGCGCGGTCGTGAAAATCGCCATTCGTCAGTTTCCGGGCGCTGTCAGTGACGTCTGTCCGTGCGAGCCATAGTTCAGCTTGGACGCGATCAGCTGATTTATAGAACTGCTGAACTTGGTAGAGAACGCGTTCGCCATCGGGGCTTATGCTGATGTCTCGGACTTTCTGCGAAGAGGCTATTTGGGAGGGAGTATGGCGCATGGTCAGAATGGGATACGGTGAAGCATTGTCATGTTTTATTTCCGGCCTTTTGCATACCTGTATGCGAACTCTCACATTCGTTTGCCAAGGTGGGAAATGGACTGGGAAATTTCGGTGCGTGAAGAGAATATCATGGGAAGATTCTCATGTCTCTTTCACGGAAAGGGCAGCCAAGGGTCTGTTTGTTTCATAAAGAATGATCATGATGCTGCTAGTATCGTAGAACTTCCCACTGCCACGCGAATAGCGAATACGAAATTAAAATAGGGGCTTTCTTCACGACCATGTGATGCATGTTGGCCCAAATTTCAAATTCTTTCTTCTTTTGCTCGCCACTGTCGTTCTTTCAAGCGCTCGCTCATCTAAGGGTTCGTCCTTCAATGTCAGCCCACGAAGAACTACTGCAAGGACAAGGACCTGCGATTGTAGACTGCGACCTACTTGAGGCCGCTAAGGAGAACGTTCAGCCTTTTGCTACCGGCCGCCGAGTAACAGCACTGTCGTCGATATTGTCCACCCCACATACACACAGAGAATCGAAGCTCTCGGCGACAAAGAACAGACTCCGGATCAATGTCGAAATTGCTATGGAAGACGAAGATGACGACCCCTTGGAGGCCTATTGCAGATTGGTTTATTGGACAGTTGAGAACTACCCCCAAGGCCATAGTGCGGAATCTGGCCTTCTAGAGCTTCTAGAAGAGGCGACGAGAGTTCTCAAGGACAACAGGGATGGGAGATGGAGGGGCGAAATGCGCTATCTCAAGCTGTGGCTGCTTTATGCTAGCTACGTCGAGAGACCCACCATCATTTATCGTTTTCTGATCGCAAACGATATTGGAATCTATTTTTCTTTACTGTACGAAGAGTATGCTGCGGTATTGGAGCGCGATGGAAGGTGCGTCGTATATCCAATACTTCATTTTTGTGCTTACTCATGTCGTGTCATAGGAGGAAAGAAGCAGACGAAATTTATAGACTGGGGATTGCGAGACGAGCTTCGCCATTGGATCACCTGAAGGCCAGACATGCTGATTTCGAAAAACGAATGATGTGCACGTCACCCATTGTAACCCCCGACACGACTTCTTCATTACCGCCACGCCGGCCAGCCCTGGCTACGACTGTGGACCGTACAGTACCCGTCATCGCCCGGCCCATGGCTCAGACACGTTCGACCAATGCTTCCGCCTCCAACGTCCCTCTCCAGGTCTTCGCAGACCCAACAGGCTCAGAAGCTCGCCCATCGTTGATAGAACAGAATGCATGGCCAGACGTTGGTACACGTAAAACAAGGATCAAAGAGAATATTCCACAGAGCAAGAAGATGGTGGGCTCGACTATTAAGCAGTCCAAAAGAACAGTATCTTCGTCGGGTTCTCGTATCGTTCCGTTCATAGACCCTGCCGAGAATGTGGCTACAAATGTATCGAAGGGGCGGCACGCTTCGCAGAGCCGTACGGTACCCTTTGTTGACGAGCCAAAAGAAGGTGAAGAAGAGATTCCACCGACGCCCAAGTTTACACCTTTTAGAGATGAGGTTTGTTGATGATCTGTTAATAATGTGTGCGCGCTAATATTACCGTGTTCTTTCTAGGATGTATCCCTGACTTCGCCTGCAGTTGCCGCCGAGTCCGTTATGCAAATCAAGACGCCGGCTTCGACTTCAGCTGAGGCGGAGGCATTGAGGAAGAATCCCTTGAAGAATTACGGTGGTCATGGTGTTGGCTTTGATGATCCCTAAAGCGGGATCTTTTTCTTTTACCAATTACTCTTTCTCGGATCTCACCTTGGTGCTCGTGCTACATTTTCCGATATGCTGTTCACTGTATTTTTTACCATTTGCTTCCCTTACCTTAAATAAGGGAGATAGTTACTTGTAAAGTATGGCGCTTTCACAAACTGTAATTGCACCTGGTCTTGGTGACGCAGAATAGCTTCATATTAGCGAGCAAAGAACGACCATTATGGCGTACATTTAGATTGTCCTTCAGATCGTTGATTCAAGATCTAAAAATCGCCGAACGAGGGATGCTTCAGAGAGGCGCTGCGGATACGAATTAGGCCAAACCAAAGTCGGCGAATATGCTAAGAAACCCATTGGAGCAACGACAGGCGGTGACTAGAGGTCAGGCGCTTTGTACGGCCGTGACAGACAGCATGAACTTGAATGACAAAGTAGCTCTTGTGTTGCTTTCACTTAGATCAGCCTGGATACGGCGTATAGAATGTCTACTCTCCATCGGCTGCGAACAGGTTCATTCCCTGGAGTTTGTTGATATGGATGAATATCGACGTGAAGGACAATTTGACTCACTGTAAATGCTCTAACTCAAACTCCCCCTTGTGGAAATCTGTTCTGTGACCGCCCGACACGACTTGTCATGCTACATCCAGATTGAAAGTGTAGATGTACGGATCACCGAATAGCCATGGGACAATCGGCGCATTCTCGCCAGCCTTATACACTAGAAGCGCGTTAATCTCCAGTCAGGAATACCACATAGAAACTTACAATCAAATCACCTCGCCCAATGTAAGTTTCCACCACGACGTTTGGAAAAATGCTCTAGGAAGCCTCAGACGGTGAAATATAGGTCTAAAATCCTGGAATCTACTTTGCTGCCTGGTATTCCTCACGCTAGGGCCCCAAGTGTCGTAGAAAAAAACGCAATGATCAACCTTCAGATTGCGCCGAAATTGTGCTATTCTGGAAATGAAAAAGATGCAAAGCAGGGTCAGAAATAACGAGAATACCATCAGTTCACAGTCATTGGTGAAGAGTCTCTCCAGTGGAGTGTTGGATGTCTACATGGTAGTAAATTGTTGAGGACAAGATCATTAGTCTAGGCAGGACTTCGAATTAGTCATTAACAAGTTCATGATCTACCATGGCCTCTATCATCAATCATGAAAGTTGCAAGGATGTAACAGTCCAATAATGGTCAACCTATACAAAAAAAATGACAGAGAGGAATATCAAAATAATAACTCAAGGGTAAAAGCAGAAAAAGCTGTCATTGATAGAAACATAAGGAAATATTGCAGTATAAGAAACACAGGCAAGTGGTCTGCACTCCCTATTCCACTGTACACCTGAGTCACAAAAACTTGTGTTGTCACTGTCAGAAGGCAGGAAAAGAAGCTATGACAATAGTCAGACAGCAACCAGAAATCAAACAAGTGATGCACATGCACACAAATTGCTGTCATAAATAAATTTTGGGTGCCCTCCTAGATGAGGACCAGGTTGAGGTGGGCATACTTGAAGAACTTTGTAGCATGGAGTACCTTCATGATGAAGGATATGGGGGTGACATAAGTCAAGTCAGAGGAATCAGTGGTGCCAGAACCACCAGTGAGGATGCCACCAAAGGTGTCAGTGATGCAAGATCCAGAGTCCCCTTTCCTGGAGAACAGGCCTGAGTTCTTGTCAGAGGGGATGATCTGCCACTCCCTTGACTCCAGATACTCATTAAAATAGCTGTGTGTGTATGATGAAACATTGTTCACCTTGCCAATGGTGGTCCCAGTATTGGTGCTGTTTTTGAAGATGATCAAGCATGACTCATTGTTGGCATTGTGCATGGATGGATTCACAAGGACAGTCTTGGGGACCTGGCCTTGCATGATGCCAACAATGAGTTGTGCTTGGTCATCTTCAAAAACAGCATCAGTACTGAGACCACCATCAGCAAGACAAACAACATTTTATCATACACACGCAACTATTTCAATGAGTACCTGGCCTCAGAGTGTCATGAGATGGTCATCAGGGAATTTGAAGGACATGGAGCTGGTAGAGTGCAGATAGACCTTCTCCATGGATTCTCCACATGTGTACTTATCGCCAATGTTGATGGTGTTGCCATGTTAATTGTTGGTGTCAAGTTTGCTGGCATCGATCTTAATGATGGCAAGGTCCAGCATAAACTCCCCGAGTTCGGTGGAGCAGAAGATGGGAGGGGCCCAGGCGAGCTCCCCGAAGACACGCTTCTCCTCCAGCCTCCAGTGAGTGGCAATCTCCCGGCGCAAGTCCCCGAGTGCTTTCATCCTCGTCTCCGCCCTCTGCAAATCGTTCTCTGCCTTCTCGCGCTCTATGACGGATGCGCGGTCATCCTTGTCCTTAACCAACTCAATCCTTTCCCTAGAATCGATGTCGTGAGCCCTTCGTCCCCAATCTTGTCGTCGATGGCGGCGAGCTTCTCGTTGAAACCGGTGGTGCCAAGGACAATCATGTTTTCATGTGCCCTGCTGTTGTTCCTGCACTGGTATTCCCTGTCCTTGTCCCTGTCGACAGGGAGGACAATGTGCCGGGCAGTGACGAGATAGATGTCCTTGTTGTCGCCACCGGCGCTGAGGTAGAAGCCGCCAGTTCTCTCGGCCCAAGGCCTATTCTCGGTGAGATCGGGATGCAGAGTGTCGCAGTGTATGGGTCGCGAGCAGTGAAAGTAGGGTCGGAGAAGGCGACAGGATCAAAGAACCTATTGCCCCCTTGTCTCATAACACGAGACTCCCTGATTTCGACGTGGTAGTCGCGGAGACCGTAGCAGTTGATGAACGCCTGGCAATGGAAGGCGACGTCCTTGCCCTTCTCGAAGCTGAGCGCCCCGAACTTGACGCCAATCCAGACGATGGCTGGGCCGGAGGACTGTCCTTCTTTGACCATTCAGAGTGCGTCGATACTAGTCCAGTTCACGCACATTGTGTTCAGGCTACTGCGAAGGCGGTCGGCCAAACCGTGGTCCCAAGCACTAGCAAGGGGGTGATCACCCAGCTCCCTAAGCTCTTTGACGACAGAGTAGGCCTCGGGGCCAGTTAGATCCTCGAAGGGGCTGGGATTGGTTGTAGCGATGAGGGGTGGATTGGAGGGCAAGCCCTTGTAGTAGACCTTAGATAGAGCCTCGGTCACTACGAACCGGGGCGTAGGGGACATAGTGAAATGTTCGGTGGCAGACGAAAGCTCACTAAAAATACCCCCGCCGGATGAAGAGGTGGCTGTGAAAGAGAGGGGGGACTGCAGCTCCGCGTCCTCGCCCATGGGCTTGAAGGCAATGGCGAGCTTGGATGGGTCTACTGAAAAAAAGGGCAAACAAATGTCAGTACGGGAAGGCAGTGAGAGAGCGAAAAGGAAATACATTGGTGATAGATCTTGTGTTCAAAAAACTTGAGGAATGGAGATGAGTTGAGAAGAGTGATATGAGTGAGCAGAGTTAAGTAGCGTTTGGTGAGGGAAAACAGTGTGGGAAAACAGGTGTCCTTTTAGTGGTGTTAGGACTTGGAGCTCTCTGCACTATCCCAAGCGTGGGTTGTCTCGTGTCGAGCGTCTGAATCAGGAGAGGAGAGGACAATGGCGGCTAGGAATGAATAGATTAGCTGGGGGTCGATCAGGGGCTCTGGGGTCACGGACCGACTACATATTAGTCCCGTGTTGCCGCGGCCCCTCGCTAATCGCATTCCACTGACGACAATGGCGGTGTGTATATACCCAGTCGCAGCGGGCAGTCGACACCCTTGTCGGGGTTGTGTAAGAATCCGAACCAGAAGTAAGAGGACTCAGTCTCGACATATTGTGGTGTAAACGGACTGAGGGAAAGAGAGGTGCGTCGATCGATGCGTCATAAACAGGGTCAATAAACAAAGGAGCCACTCTCGGTGTATCCGGAAGACAACTAAGCACCAACAGGTTGTATGTCCTGAAAGCAATTCATTCTCGATTGAAAATAGACAGAATTCATTTTTGACTTACCAGCAGAGGCTTGGTCGAGGGCGTCCTGCACGATTCCCTCACTCTGAGTGTCCAGAGCACTGGTTGCCTCATCGAGAAGAAGAATGCGTGGGTCCGACGCGATGGCGACATGCTGCTTCTGACCACCACTGAGCAGGAATCCTCGTTCGCCAACCATAGTATCATAGCCCAGAGGTAGCTTAGTTATGAAGCCATCAGCGTTGGACTTGACACAGGCTTACTTGATCAGCGCCAACTTCTCCTCCTCGGAGGCGTTCTCATACTTGGTTCCAATAAGCCCATGCTCAACGTTGCCTCTAATCGTGGTTGCAAACAGTGTTGGCTCTTGCGACACGAGCCCGATCTGCCAACGCAGCCATCGGACATTGAGAAACTTCAATTCCCGTCCATCCAGTTTGACAACACCAGATAAGGGATCATAGAATCGTTCGATCAGAGAAATTACTGTCGACTTGCCGGATCCTGAGGCACCGACAAGAGCAGCGGTTTTACCAGCTCGGAAGGTGAGGTTGATCCCTTTGACAACGGCGATGTCGGGACGCGAAGGATAATTAAAGTGAATGTCTTCGAACGTAACTTCACCGTAAACGGTTTCGGGTTTTTCCCCACTAAGGTCGGCAGAATCTATGTCTGGTACACGGTCGATTGTAGCGTAAAATTTCGCAGCTGCACCTCGTCCATGAGTAATGGCTAGATTATATCGACACGGGTAAGCACACATGTTTAGTGAATGCATGGTGCATGGCACATACCTTGCATTTCGGGTGCTAGCAATGCCAACGAGAAAGAACCAATTAGGATCGCCATGAAGACGATGATGACAGTACCAGCATTGGCTATGGACCAAAATATTAATAATGATATTTAGAGTTTTTCACTGATGCGAACGCACCATCTCCGCACAAAATAAGGGTTGTACCGAATGAAAAGGCTAATAGAAAGTAAGTGAAAGGAAGGATTTTGTATGCACCCAAGGCACACGATGAGTAGATGCAGAAAAAGAAGACCGAAAGACTTCCACCGAGCCATATTGTAGACTTGACGTCGACCACCTTCGACTTGGCAACGTGCTGATCGTACAAGCTCGACAGAATTCGCTGTGCGCCAAAGGCTTGCGCAGTTCGAACGGTAGAGACGACTTCCTCGGCGATATTGCCAGCATCTGCAATGTACTTCAGGAAAGCCTAGCAGAAAGTTTATGCCTGTTGGATAATGTAGCACAATGCTAAATGAACGTACTGCATATATTTGGATATGGCCTTGTTCATGCCGCTCCAGTGATACCAATACAAGGTAGCAAAGACGTCAAAGCAAGTGCGAGACGCTAACTCCGGATATAGACCAATATGAAACCGGTAGCGAAGGCCGACAAGAAGGACACCACGAGCGAAACCTTCTCTGACATCCCCTGCTGTACTAAGTCTGGAAAGCATTCAGAAAAGTCGTAAAGAGAAAGGGTAAGCTCACGGGCGTCGGTCTGAATTCGGGTAGCAACCTCTCCTGCTCCAACTTTGTCAAAAAATGGGATGTCCTGACGTACAACTGCTCGCAAATACCGTTCCCTGATACGCTTTGCATTGACCTCGGCAGTATAAACCCAGACATACATATAGAGATATGTGCAGATGAATATGCCGATGCCTTGAAGCTTGATGAACAAAAGAAATAGATGTCACTGAGGATACACACCTATGATGACTAGATATAGCGCGTCGTTGGAGGCTACATGGCGGAAGCATACTCGATCGTGACAAATATGGCTAAACTAGCATATTGCGTTACATAGAGCATGTCCCTACACCCCAAACGAAATCTACCCATCGCTGCGACCGGTAGAGCCTCAAGGAACGAGGGTCCCCCTCTTAACGGCCAGATAAGGGCTTAGTGTTAACACTTATTGAGATTGGCTGCGTAGCGAAATAGGATCGACAACGGCTACTTACATAAGGAATTGTCGCTATTAATTGCCAGCAAGCCTATAGCTACCCGTATTACATATAAGTTAAGAGATCGCGGATACACAACGTACTACTAGTTATGCAAAGACTTTCTATAGCGACGCTATTAGCTAAATAACATATAACCCGTACCGCAAAAGTCAATAGCAAAGACCTTTCCCGTGCTGTCGATAATAGGAGTGTCAATGCGAGGTATTAAAAGTAAGCGGAAAGCATACCCTGTTTATCTAATCCTAGAGATGCTCAACTATAGGGTATTCGCACGTCTACTTGCATGCAAGAAAGAAGTCATGGCCGATGGGCGGTGTCCGCAGGCACTCGGATGCTAGTGAGCTGCTTAACGGCTGCAGCAATGACTGCCATGTCGTCCTCTGCGTATTTGCCCGTGTTCGACTGGCGGCTCGCGACTGTCCTGCCTTTGACGTACTACATGACGATGCAGCGACACTGCCCGCGCAACCACGACGCTCGCAGGGTTGCCGTCCACAATCTGGGCATTCTGGTTCTGTGTGCAGGCCTCACCCGGGATGATACCGCCGCCGTACTTTACCCAAAATCAAGGGCTGCTTGCGACCTCGATGCAGACGTCGTTCTGGCCGCAACTAGCGACGGCGCAGAGTTGGACGATGGTGTCGCGGGACGGAAGCTCTACCGGGATGTTCGCAGCAGAACGCTCGATCTGATCGTCTGATATAGCTGGAACACAGGTAAGTCAAAGCACAGGGGAGAAGGGACTAGGAAACGGCCTCGCAGCTTCGAAGAAGAGTACAAGGTGCAGAAATAAGATAAGTTCTAAGAGGGCAGAGCGGAGGTTAAGTTACCATACCAAGATTAATCGGATGCCTGTGCCTACTCAGCAGACATCATTCAAAGGTCATGAAGATGTCTGGAAGTCCAGCCAATCATATCATGTCGTCTGTGACCTGGATGTTAAGACCGTCACTAAAGGACTGACTCGTGAGCAGTAGTTACGGTTGGGTGAGAGAGGCGACTGGGTGTCGTTTGGTGGGGGACAAGGGAGAGGGCAAAGTATCACGCCATCTTTTGTAAGTAAGCGCGTCAGATACAGCTTGTTATTAAATGCCGGCCCCATGATATGTCGATGCTTGCGCTGCATGGCATTGGCAGGTAAGAAACGTCACGGTGTCGCCAAAAAAAGACTCCTGGAACGAGGACAATTGCAATTAGATAGACAGATGCCCTCTTCGATAAAGGAAGGGTTACGATTATCAACAGATGGGTGTCTTTGAAGCTTTCAGTTCACCTTCTCAGAGAGAATACATGTCATTGGAACGCCACGCGAGGTAGAGGCCGAAGGAGGCTTTTTCGGTTTCGGAGGGCCCCGTTTCCAGTAACGCTTTACATGGGCAGTCATAGCTTCTGTGAGAGGCCAGCAGTTATTCCGGTAATGTTCCTTTTCAGGCAATCACCGCCTCTTATGTTATTGCTTCTATAGCAGCAATATGAAATACCCTCTTCCGCCTCACAGAGCTGGAGTTCGGGTTGCAAGTACTGGATTGAGCGCTTTCGTACCTTGGATTTAATCCATTAGCAACTAACCGTCCCTCGGACCCCCTCGGTCAAACTAATCCGATTCTCAGGTCCAATCCCTGCACAAGCGAAACACGAAGACCAGCTGGAATCGCAGTTTAGGTGGCGGGGAGGTCGCAAAGTGGCCTATGAAGCTCCGTAAGTCTTGGCTTTATGCATCTGATCTCGACCATAAGGTCTTTCCTTCTGAACACGTCTCCAGATGGAAGAGAAACCCGTCAAGAGAGTAAGTTAGGTCTCTGCGCCTAAACAACGCCATGCGCTCGACGTATGAGACGTCAGGATCATTCATGGCAGTCTGATATGCACAATCACAGCCACGACACGATACTCCATAATGGAGTGTGCCCGTAGAGCGGTCGAGATATGGGAGAAACGTCGCTGAAGAGAACTGAACGCTGGAGCCGCCGGTAAAATTCACAGCAGATTGCTGCGTCGAGGGGGTTCCGACAGTCCTATAGCCGCTCTTCTGATGCAGCGCGTTTCTAAGCGGTCTCTCCCCGAGTCCGATATGAGATGTTCCAGGATCATCTGGCAAGGCTCTTCGCCTAAGACCCAATGCAGCCATAGATTCTCGCTGCGTTATGGGTCTCAACTGCGGAGACTCCCTGAGGCAAGGCATGCAGCATCGCTTACATGCAGGAAGCCATATGAAGCCGCCGAACTGATTACAGACGCTGCATGTGCTGCTGCATAGTACGTTGTAAAGCTGACCGACGGTGAAATATGCAGTTGACCGAGTTAAAGCACAGAGCGCGCTGGGGGAATGAAGAAGCAAGTATTTGTAGGGTATGGATGAGCGGACGATTATTCTGGCGCGTTTGTTAACAAGCTGGAACGATGCGACAGCGCGCAAGTCCGCTGAACGGAAAATCAAGTCGAAGAGCTCAATCGGAAGGACACCTAGCGTCCCGAGAGATCTTGTTGGAGGGGACAGATAATTGTCCGAAATTCCGTACGGAATTAGGTCCAGTACTTCTGTACGAAAGTCTGGTCGGCTGTAGGTAAGGACGCTGAGCACCTCATTTGTCGAGTCCGATGTCAATGCCATGAACTACTGGAAGATTATTATCAGAATTAAATTGCCTCTGGACGGTGACAGGGTGCACACCTCGGATATTAATATGCTATCCGTTCCAAGACTAAAGTAGTACGTGGCCTGACGAAAAGTCGGAAGTTTTGCGGGGTCTTCATACTGCGAACGGAAGTATCCCGGGTCCGGGCAGTACCCTCGGTCCTTGCTCCCGGGCCCCGAGCTGCATGCTTGTTATCTCTTCTTTCCGCCGCGTTATGGACTCTTGTCGGTTGCATGCACTGGCTTGCTCCATCTCTGGGCGATTCTTGGATTTTTTTTTTTTGCAGGGCGTATGAGCCACGGATTCCCCAACTTTACGTTTCTGAAGACGGAGAGAATCCTATTACTGGTTCTTTTATATGAACTGTTAGGCTCTTAAAGGTGTTTCTAGTTGCCATCCTTGGAATGCCACTCCAGCTCCACGCTCTGTAAGCGCGCTAATTTAAGAACTCCTTCGCATGCGTCGCGTCACTGACGTTTATGTAGCAACTGCCAGAAAAATACATTTCTGGAACGCTCAATTTCCCTGGTGACGCAAGTCGGCAGATTTTATTTAAAAAGACCTCGATCTTTGGCTTGGATGGTCGGTTTACCCTCACACCGCTGTGAACATGTTCTGTCGTCTCTTGGTCGTTGTCTTCCTCTGGGGTATGCTCCTTGTATCTGCCGCGCCTACGGGCACCTTGCAATCCCAGTTACCGTCAGTAGCCGGCTTGAACGCCCAGCCTTTGATTGAGACGGCTTTGCAAGCCGCAACAGTGCATGCATTTGTCCCTACCAGTGGATCAAGTACGGCATCACCGCCTAGTAATGATGAGGGTAGCGCTGGGTGAGTCGCATCTAATTGCTCGTCGTGCTTTCCGCTGATGTTTGGACCTGGTAGATGGCTGAGCCAAATGTTTGCCTTCATGAACAAGGAATGCAATTCACATCGTCGAAGGCTACGACGGTCAGTTCATCAGCCGCCTTTACTTTCACCGTGATACTTATGTTCTCTAAAACAGCTACAGTCCACATCCTGTATGTATTTCCCTCGCAGAGTCATGTCCGACATGTCCTGACACGCGTTCCCACAGTGATAAATTCATTTTACGACGTATTTCGGCTGATACCCATATCTTTATTTTCTGGTGAGTGTAGCGTCTGCTGGGCGTGGACATACCTAAATTGTTTTTTTCAGGAAGAGTGATGAGATTTGATGACCTGTATATATTTGTGATGAACGTATGTCAAAGTTGAAGTTTGTGAACGAAGACGAATATTTCATGTGTGTAAACGTCATTGATTGGCAGTGCCGCAGTGACCCCGCCAGGCGCATGTTCTTGCTTCTTCTACCTATCATCTCTATTTTATACAACTTGGATACCTGTAGAGCATCTCTTCAAAAGTTGTCTTTTAGCCTTCTTTCTTTTTTCATTGTGTACAAGGGTTACCTTTTTGGGCTTATTTGATGATGTTATGTAAGCAGAAAAAGTCTGGCAATGGGCATGCAGGGGAAACGCTGTTTCTCCCTGTCGCCATCGACGAGGTACTAGGCCGGGTTCAGTCCTGTGCTCTTTTTCATTCTGGATACCGGAATTTTTTATTTCGCCCCTTAAAGCTCTTCTACTTACCCAACTCTACCGATAATCGAGATGGATCCTCAATACAGCACCCCATCACAGGAAGCCGACGCATACGGACCCCAGCCCCATCCATACCTTCACGAACCACTTTTGTACATTTCGAATCTTCCTGCTTATGTCTCTGATGAAAACCTTGCTATTGCTTTCGTTACCTGCGGCCCATTCAGACCAAAAATTGTTCGTGATGGGAGCAGCAGCCTGCTGTCCGGCACAATCGAGTTCAAGTTTCTCGAGAAAGGTTCGTAATTCCTTCAGCTTTGTAACCTTGAATCATTATCTATCCGTTTCAGCCGAGAAAGCTTTGGCCACTCTTCAGTCACGTCCAATTCCAGGCCTACAGGCCCCCGTGCCTCTTGTATTGTCCCCGTACCCCCCGACGAACCCGCCCACGCCTCTTCCGCCTCCATCTGCCCTTCCGCGGCTCGTGAAACATTTACCTATTGGATACACCGATTCCCAGCTATTTGACATATTCCGACCATATGGCGCACTTGCGTCTGCCCGCACTCACACCCACTTTGGTCCCGATACTGGCATGGTCGAATTTTGGAATGAGGACGACGCCAGGAATGCCGAAGAAGCCATGCACTGTGCCGATGTCGAGGGTCAGAATATCGCTGTCCAGGTGTACCAACAAAGAAGGACGAGCGGTGGTGTGGGGGAATTCAATACTGCTGCACCCACCTTCATCCCTTCGGGATCCATGTATACATATGGCGCCCAAGTTTGTCGTGTTTTATGTCGTTTCGTAGCATATATGCTGATTCCATGCAGTACTCTCCCCCTACCCCGCCTCATCGCCAGTCATACAGTCCTCGAAGCCCCCCTGCGCCTATTCCCTTCGTACACGGACCGGGCCAACAGGTTCAATTGGCTCCTGTGTCCGGGCCAGGATCTAGTAGCCATAGTGGGCTGATTGACCCTTGTAATTTGTTCTGCAAAGTACGTGACTTTTTGGAGCATGTGCCACCCGTATTGATCTTTTTTTTTTTTGATAGAACCTTGACTCTGACATTGATTCAAATGCTCTCTTTTCGCATTTCCGTCATGTATGTCTGCCCCTTGGTTCTGTTCGTCCTCATAGACTAAACCTTGACGCAGTTCGGTCAAATCGTCAGGTACGCGGTCTCTAAATCTCACAAAATCTGTTCTGAGACCTTCACCAAGTGCTCGTGTTATGCGTTCCGAGAATGGCGAAAGTCGAGGTTTCGGCTTCGTCTCGTATCAGACCCCTGATCAAGGTAGGCGTTTGAAGCCTGAAAAGTATAATCAAATTCATCATCGACGCATATAGCGGCCGCGGCCATGCATGCCATGAACGGCGTAACAATCGGCAGCAAGCAAATCGCTGTGCGATTGCACGAGCCCAAACAGCTGCGACAAGAGAAGCTAGCTCAGCGTTTCGGTGGACATAATGGACATCCCAGGAATTCTAGCGGTGCTACGAGTCCTACGCTCAGTGAAGGTGCAGAAAGCATTGGCGGGTGGGGAAGTCCTCGTCAGCGATCCATCAACCTAGGATCTCCGCCTGGCAGTCACCACGAGAGGGCCGAGCGAGGTAGAAGGGGCAGTGGGAGCTATTATAACGTACGTTATACTTTGCCCTCGTGCTTCCACGTTTTTGACATCACTCTAGGCTGCTCTGTCCGGCACACTCAATCTCCCTATGCGCTACGACGAGCTTGCTGGACTCTCGCCTGTCGTTCGTAAAGAAGTTCTGACCGGAGACCTCAGCCGCCGTGTCAAGACCCTTGGAACAGTCGATACCCCAGACATTGACGCCGTAGTGGAAGCGCTGCTCAGCAGCTCCTTGAGCGAGGTCGTCCAATGCATCGAAGACCCCGATAAGCTATCTGAGCATGTTGAGAGCATCAAGCGCAGCCTCCGTCTCTCTGAAGCTTCGCCGCCAAAGTCTCGATCCCCTTCAGCGTCAGCATCTCAGGACTCCATTGATCCTAATGGTCTTGCTGCAACAGCGAGTGCCCCTGAATACCCTTCCACTCCCATATCCGCCAATGGTTCTTTAGCCACCCCCCCTAGAACGTCATCCCCCTCTGGTTCTGTTCCTCCGACATCCGAGAGAGATCGGATGATCGCAGCTGTGAACAAGTTTGAATCTTCTCGTCAGGGCGAGCTTACTGAGCTGCTGATGAGCTTGCCGAAGCGCGAGCGTGCGATGTGCCTATTCAACGTTGAGATTCTTCGTGCGAAACTGGCAGATGCGAAGATGGTGTTGGATAGCGAAGACGGAGAGGAGGAGGAACAACCGGAGGTTCCCCAACAAGTACCCGTCACGCCGCAGAACAAGAAGACGACACCTCCAAAGGTGGAGGAGTCTCCACAGACGCCTGATCTCTCGTCTCGAGGACCATCCGCGACGGCATCGCCTTTGCCTGGAACCCCTTCTGGGCCCACATACACGATTGCATCACTTGCGAGACTGCCAGCCGCTGAGGTTGTTAGATTGGCATCATCTTCTCATGCAGCTCTACCGATACCCAAAGCCGACCCGTCAATCGTTCAAGCTACCGATGCCTTTATCGACGGACTTTTGGATAAGCCAACAAACCTGCAGAAACAACAATTAGGCGACAAGTTGTATGTTCATTTTGATGCTGCTCTGTCCTATGCTGATGTCATTCCCCTCAGATTCAAGGTTGTCAAATCCTTCGGTATCAAAGCTGCGGTAAGGCCGAAGTCGTTCCTTTTCCCTCAGCTGTGCTAATGCCATGTTTGTGAACAGCCGAAAGTTACTATCGCTCTCCTTGATCAAGAAGATCTTCGCGCCCTCGCACATCTCATGAACAGTTACCCCAGTGTCTTGAAAGATAAAGCTCAGGCAGTGGTCATTAACAAATAAGCGAACCCGCTTTTGCTACCCTAACTTTCGAACTGCTCTTTTCTTGTGAATCAATTCAACATCTATATCCATATCCACTCTCATTCATTACTCGGGCTCAATGGTAACTCTTTTATAACAATATATCGGAAGATCTTTACATTTACTCTACAATTAGTTCTTCCTTCCTGATTTACCCGAGTTTGACTTCTCGTGCTCCCAACGCTCCCCACCCATTGCAATCCAGCCTCTTTCTGTAGTATTTTGATGACGACCCTTGATGACGACCAACGTTTGTGATTCTACACCGACAAATCCTTTTGCTATTTTCCCTTTCCTATTTGTGGTGCACGTTAATGATGTTTCTTTCTTTTGGTAACGAATACAGCACCTCATTTCTTTTTCTTTTTGCATTCACTTAATACGGGGCTAGGGAGAATTGTCAAACTGTGCTAGGCGAATACGATCATGTCTTGAATGTATTAAAAGTAGTACCGTGTATATCAAGAAGGATGGTTAGGTCTGTAGTCGTAATGGTTCGATCGACTGCAGTATTTATAGAGGTGTCGTACTTGTTCATAGGCGGTGATTACCTGAAACGGATAAGGTTTTGCCCTTGGCGCCAAACAAACACGATATTTAAAGCGTGACCATCAATGTCACGGCTCGTAAAATTTTCTTTCCGTCTCGACCAAGAGGATCGACTTTTTTTGTGAGTCCTTTTCCCAGCTGGTCATCTCGGCGATGAAAAAACAATTATCTGCAAACCTATTGCGACGTACACGCAAGTGTACCCTGGGCTGGACTTCCCTCGGGAACCATTCAAGTCTCTGACTTCGTGTCTTCCTACTAACTGTTGGGCACGCGCTGATTATGGTGTATATCATCCCAGGTCTTTCATTCTGGCTGTAGCATCACGACTCGACGCGTTGGATCCAGGATTATATACTTGTTATATGGGTCGTCTGCTCCCTTCCACGCTGTAGTGTCACCTAATTCAATATGCATTTTTCAAAATATCGTGAGACCATTAAGCCTGGTAATGTTTTTGTTGCATGATTCTAATCGCCACGGTTCCGAATGTCGAATTGTTTTTGAATGTGGTACCTGCGTGGACGATACGATCCTCGCTCGACGCCACGTGCGAACCTGAAAAAACAGGGGAGCGTGGGAAGGTTGATGAGGGCCTGTATCCGTTAACGCTTTTTCAACGCTTACGTTTAAGCGACACCTCTCTCTGGTGCTCCTTCCAGCGGCCCTTCGTCGTGCACTGCGGGGCCGGGTGCGACGACGACGACGCGCTCCTGATGACAACGAAGAGTCAGAGCCCATCCTCGCTTTCCCGGCTATCGCGCTTTGGTGTCTCCTTCAAGTCCAGTGCCTCGTCGCCAAAGTCACGGAACCGAAATCCGGAAAAACCAGCTGCGGAGGACAACTGGTATATTCCGTACAACGGTCCTTTTGAGGCTCCCAGGCAACCGTACGCTAAGCCTAAAGAAAGGGACAGTTGGGGTGACTCTCTGTATGTCGATGAAAAGGATGAGCAAGTCTCGCAGGATGGACGCCACGGGAGCCAGCGAATCGCGCAAACCGGATGGGGCGATAAAGGGCGGCCTAGGGCTCATACGGAGTCTGCGATCACGAGCAAGAGTGGCTCGTCTACGTTTGCAGATGCAAGTCACCATGGACTTCGTAACAGAAACGGCCGACATCCTGCTCCTTCCTATGTCAACGTCGGAGGCGTAGGAGAATCTCCAGTACCCCGAATACGCTATGAATCTACCTCGAAGTCGCCTTTTGCCAGTATATTCTCCTTTAGTTCTTCAAAGAAACGAGCATCACCGCCAGCCTCTATTTCGACGAAGAGTGATTCCAAGTGAGCATCTTCTATTTTTCAGGGTGCGGCGACCTTTTCTCGGTCGGTTCGAAATGCGGTCGTAACTGTCAGAGTTGGCTGGTTTTGCGACGGAGGCAAACCCAGCATCGATGTACCATATCTGTCATTGAACATTTTTGCCCTGCGTTTCGACCGACACGAGAAAGTCACCTCCTAATTATCTTTTCATCATAAACTGATAGCAACCGGAACAGACGCGGTACCCGTACCCGCGATGACGAAGACTACTACAATTCCTATTATTCCACGTTGGTCCAATCGCCTCTCAGGAATCAGGACGAACCTAGGGACTTCAGGGTCGAAGATCCCCCCCGTTCTCCAAACAGTCGTATTGGCCGTTCTGAAAACACTCATTCTACGGTATCTGGCCAGTCATCGCCGACACCTCATCCTTATGCCTATGTGTTTCCCACTGGCAATTATAGCGACGTTCTTAAAACAGCACCCCTCGTGTCCACAGACAGTCGGGAGTCAGATCCCTTTCAACGAATACCCATGCGTCCCTCACAGAGCACTGGCAATGGCCAGCACTCATTGCTCCATCCTTCATCTGCCGCTGGTCGTCGACTAACGAATTCCATCTCCTCTCCCGATTTGCGACTTTCGCCAGCTTCTTCCTCGTCACAAAGACAGCCCAAGTCATCTATTTTGAAGGGCAAAGATCGCTGGCTTTCACCAGAGACGTGGTGCGATGCTCTGTTCCTTCCCAAACCTCGCTTCAAGGTGAAACAAGATGGGAGTGTCGAGTACGGAAAAGGCAGAATAGTCAGCCCACCAGGAAGCCCTGTCTTCGCTTCGTTCGGTCAGGCTAATCAGCCACCAGGTGTCTTGTCTCGCGTTCTAGCTCAATCTCGGTCGATGGTTGATCTATCCCGTACGGCAGATCCATCGCACAGACACGCTCCTCAGCCGTTTTATATTGCTCACACTCAACCTTCAGGATCTGTTAACGCTGAAGCGGGCCCGTCAAGACCGCCACGACCGCGAAGTCTTTCCCTTGATGACCTCGCACTTCCTAGTCCTGTACCGTCATTAGCTCGGTTCGTTGTTCTGTTCCTTAACCGAACGACTATATACTAATGTTATCGATTGTTCAGGGTACTTGAGGAAGGCCAAATCCTCGAGCATCAACGTAAAAAATGGCAGATGCAGGCGCAGGGTTCGTTCCAGAATAGCCGCGCACGTAACCTTTCTCGAGCACGGACCAAGTCACTCAACTCTAAACAGGCCAAGCGGGCGGAGGTGAAGCATCCACATATCGATTTCCTCGCCGCCCGCTCTCTTTTGGGTAATCAGGACCCAATAAACATATCTACCAAAGCTAGGCCACGCACCAAGAGCCAACCTGAAGGCAGTGGCGGAGCCACGTTCTCCAGATCATCGCACGCCCATTCGAATTCCCTATCAAAAACGTCCAAGTCATCCAAATCGCACTCTCAGGGTCATTCCAGGAACGATTCGTGGGGAAGGAAAGTCGCTAAAACCACCGGTGGGGCGCTTTGTGGCTTCGATGCGTCCGCGTTGACTCCGACAGAAGAGAAAAAACTGCCATTTGACGATGTGTTGGCGGCCGAGGGAACGAGGGTTATCCGGTTCGAGGACCCCTCGACGATTCGCGACTCCGTACTGCGGTTGACTCCGCCACAGGGACCGTCGCCTACACCATCCGCGGGGACGGACCTGCGTATGGGTATCGCTCTGTCTACGCCACCGATGGATATCGAGGACCGGGAGTCTATCAGATTGCCGACTCACCCGTACGCGCAAGGAGGGCGGTATACGTACACTAGCTCTCCAAGCCGTGGTTCCGAATTTGCGGGTCCGCATCCCTCTTCGGTGGTCGGTGGTGACCGAGAACATCTGGATGTGTCTCAACGTCACAGACTGCCTCCCAGAGCCCTTAACCATCCCTACGCCCAGTATGCTGATCACGATTCGTACACCGGCAGCGACCGAATTGTCCCCAATCCCCGTCCGGATAGTAATGTTTCGCCTGCCTCAAAAATGTGGGCGCGACTTTCACCAAATGGGGTGGTGCAGGAGATACTCCCTGAAGAGATCAGATACTCTCCATTTGTTCATGCGAAGGGATCTGGGTCAAACATACGGCATTCCGGGAATATCATTGATACCATTGGGGTTGGGGAGGCGCTCTTCAACGCCGGTGAGGTTCGTGGGAGTAAGGATAGCGGACTTGGTGCGAGCGAGGAGCAAGGCGTGCGTGTCCAAGTGGACGAAAAGCCTCATCCGTATAGCAATTACCGACGACCCGTGGAATACGACGTCACACGCCCCTTGTATTTCCACAGGCCTGAAAAGCCTCTTCCATCACGACCAGAAGAGGACACGATCGTGGTGACTCCAACGCCAACCATTACACCGCAGCGACTGGCCCCTGCTCATGGATTATCGCCTTCAACAGACCGGACACCAGAGACGAATTCTTCACAGGCTTCGCCACGGCCGCTCGGAAGTCCCGATGACTTGGAACATTTCCAAGACCTCTTTTATCGCCCCGGCCAGACGATTGGACCTGCATTATCCAGAAATCCGTCTTCGCGGAGCGGGCTCACAACCCTGGCGAATCAGCTCAACCAGGAATTTGGGAAGAGGGAACGGCACGTCTCGGGTAGCAGCAGTTCAGGTTTCAGTCGTCCGAGTGGTGATGGGATGCAGTTTGTACTTTCGGAGCGGCCTGACGGTGCTTCTGCAGCCCGTCGGGGAAGCATCATACCGCCATTCCATCCATCTGTGACTATTCCGGAAGATGTGGAGTCTTCGCGTGCGTCTTCAGTGGTTGAACGATCACCGGTGGAGGCGGCTAGCGATGGTTGGTGATCTCTCCTTTATCTTGAAATTGCCTCGTGCTCAAATTCCTTCTTCAGAAGCGTTCAAGTTGGGACAAGTGGAGTCTCAGGCAACACCCCCAACTATGTCTAGCGTCCATCGGTCCTCTTTCACCGGGCTCATGTCCTTCACACCCGGTCGCAACCCACCTCCCCCGGAAGAGGAGGAAGATCAAGACAACACGGTCACCATACGTAATTCTCGTGCTCTGCTGCATCCTTCATCCTCAGGACTTCCTTCCTCTGACCTCACGCGAAGTAGCTACTTGACTAACTCAAGTCTCTATTCGCGCATCTCCAACCTCTCTGACTTTCCTGTTCCCCCCACTCAGGATATGCCAGCACGTATGTCGTATACCAGTTCCTACTTTGATGACCAATATACTGCTCGCGATGCTCGAAGCGTCACGAGTAGCCGGCGGATGACTTTTGGTGGAGATGAAGAGATCGACCAACTCCTGGCCAGTCTATCTACGAACTGATTTTCCGGACCGGCCTGCCACCTTGCCTTACCAGCCATAATATTGGTTTTTGTATCTTTATTATTGTTATCCTGTACTTGTGAATCTTAGAGAGCTGTGCATGTGTTCCCAATCTTTCGATACGATACTTATTGTCATTTGATTCGCCGGGGTTCTGCTATTCAATAATTTATACGTGTATATTTCTTGCATCGCTTTTGGATTGGTAGTACATGGCACTGAATTACCTTTCATATAAGGAGAATAATAATACGGATATCAGGTGCTACTTATACAGAAGGGAAAATCAGAGCAACTCGTCAAAGCGTTACAACAATAGCACAGAAAGAAAAGATCAAACAGATAGCTAGAACTCTTGGTCATCATCCCTCAAGACCTCATTCATCATATTGCGTAAGCTAGATTCATGACCACTTAGTGCGACTGCCCAGCAAGCAAAGACATGAAATACTCACGTCCAAAGTCAGGGTCGATGAACTATTGACCTCCTGGTCACGATATATTCCGACAAGAGAATTACCTCGTTCATATAATGAACCCTTTAAACTGATTACGATGAATTGGAAAGAATCAGAAGCCTGGGCGCGTATGTAGTTGGCAATCTTGGCAACGTTGGTGTTGTCAAGAGCGGCATCGACCTCATCCAGGACGAAGAAGGGTGCAGGTTGATAGCTACAACATGATTTTCAGGTATTGTTGGAAATTGAGAAAAATCTCGGTCTAACCTATGAATAGCAAACAGCAGTGCAAGGGCGGCAACCGTCTTCTCTCCACCAGACAGCTGTTCCATGTCCCGGAAACGCTTCATGGGTGGCATCGCATGATATTTTATACCCGCGTTGTACGGTTCCTGCGAACTTGTTCATACTCCGTCGATTCGAAACCAAAGAAATGACGCACCTCATTGTCTTCTAAACTGAGGTATGCTACACCTCCCATGGGAGCGGCCTTTCCTCTGGTCAGATCCTTGTAAACGACGTCAATGCGATCGGAAATATGATTGTAGGCCTTGTTAAACAAATCACAGCTGAAATTTCGATATCAATGAAATAAATTGCAATATGCTTAGGACACGACGCACCGCTTTTTCTTGATTTCTTGGAATTTATCACGTGCATTCTTTGAATCCTTGCGAGCCAGGTCTGCCTCTTTCTCCGTCTCGGCCAACTTGGCTTCAACATCATCAAGACTAGATGCGGGTTTAATAAGCTGAAACGGGGTATCAGACGGCGGATCAACGCATACCGTTCCATCGCTTTGAGGTTAGGAGCCATGCGTTCAATTTCCCCGTTTAGCTTGCTTACTGAAGCATCAAATTCGGCTAGTGCATCCGCCGAGCCATCCTGTTCGCGAAGAGATAAGCCACTTGTCAATGCATCAAAGCCGCAAATTACCTCTCGTTCATCATCATCTAGGGACTCGAAGTTTACTTCAATGCCGAAATCGTCAACACGTTTAGGCTGCTGTGTGCCTTCTTCATCTTCGTCAACATCCATGGCGACTTCGTCGCGAAGATTCTAGCAGTTCCGTTCAACTTGCGTCATTGACATCGTTACGAGCATACCTCTTCCATTGGTACATTTCTCAAGTTGCCTTCCAGTAAAGGTAGTTTAATCTCCTCCAACCGACATTTACGATAAATCGCAGAACGCTCCAGAGCAAGCTTCTCGATTTCGTCGTTCTAGAGACGCACTTTATCAGCACAGACCGAACGTTATAAATCAAAGGCCATACTCGAAGTGTGATCTCTTTGAGGGCCTGCTCGAGAACTTTGGACGCTTTGAGTGTAGTTTTCTTCACTTGATCTACATGCCTGGTTTTTTCTTCTAGGGCCGACTGCAAAATCGTCAGTTCCTCTTTGAACGACGCGATCATGGCCTCAGAATTTGATATATCATTCTCGGCGGCCTCCTTCTGGGCCTCGAGCCTCTCCAAAACATCTTTTTCCGTTGATATAACACCCTCAAGATGCTGGCTACGTTCGCGCGCACTCTCCAGTGCTTCGCTTTCAAAGTCGCACCTTTACGTGGCAAAGAAGATCAACGAAAAGAAGTAACTCAAAACGCATAGAACATACTGATGTGTCAAACGTGCTATCTGACTGTCATATCGTAATCGAGCTTCACTTTCTTCTTGAGCAACCTTGAGTTGGCGTTCTTCATACTCACGGATGTGAGAAACTTTGATCCTCCGGCAGAAAGCCGAGAAGACTCGATCTTCAGCAGCATCGACTGAAGACTTGAGGTTGGCAATCTGACTCTGCAGGTCATCGTATGCGCTTTGAGTCTATGCACAAACTTGGGTCAAATATCAGACAGATAGTGCCTTGAATGCACCTAACCTTCTTTAGCTCGGGCGTAATAGTCTTCAGTTCCTTGTCAATGTGCCGAAGCTCATCTTTGATACCTGTGAGTCGGAGCTTGCAGGCAGTCTAGACGCTCGCGAACATTAGACGAGATGTTTCACGGAAGTACTACACGTCTTACCAGATCATCCTTTGAAATATTAATTGCCGATTCTAGACGAGAAACCTCTGCGAAGAGATTGTCATCGTTCTTTCCACGAGGTTTCTGCTTGCTGAGATCGCGGAGTGTGCTAAGCAGCGAATCTCTTTGACGTTTCAGTCCTTGCATACACCATGTCAGCATCACAACCCTTACCGCAGCGCCAAACGCACCTTGCACGTCCTTTTCATCCCACTTCTTCCCTCCACCGTGAGTGCTCCGGCCACCAGTGATTAAACCACTCTTGTGAATGATAGTACCCTCCAGCGTCACAGCTACACGTAGAGTCGTTTAAATGCCATCCATTGAGATAGAGCAGTGAACACGGTACCTTTCACTTCTTGCCCTTTCTCATAACAGACCATCCTCGCCACTTCCATCGTATCGCAAACAAGGGCGTTTCCGCACGCATGATGCAAGGCCCGCTCTACCGCTGGCTCATATTGTATCACATCAAGCGCCAACCTCGCACCTTTTGCAAAGGACCGGAACTTGTCATTGACTGGCTTCACTTGAATTGTGTCCAAGGGTATGAATGTCGCCTGTCCAGCACGTTGCGTACGCATGTACTATGTATACACCAGTTAGTCCTATTCATATCAGTGAAGAAGAGAGCAAACCTCGATGCAGTCAATAGCCGTCCTCTCTTCGTCAACAACAACAGAATCTGTGTTCCGTCCTAGTACGACAGACACTGCAGTGTCATATTTTCTTTGAGAGGGCTTGCACAGATCGACAACACGTCCACGAACACCTTCGTAATAAAAATGAATGGTGTGATAAACAATGGGTGAAGATATGCTGACCTGGAAACAGGCGCTGAAGATTGGCCAAGGTTTCCTTCAACTTAGCCTCCTTTTCCGACTCGTGCTGGTCCACACCCGCTTGCAACAACTGCTGGTAGATGTGTTGCAGTTTTTCGTTAGCTTGAGCTTCTAATTGCCTACGATATAACGCGTCGATTTCAAACGTCTCAAGGAACAATTGGCCGAGGACTTACGCGATCTTAGTCCGCTCTGATTGCTGATTGTCTAGTTCCTGCTTGGTCGCAGCTAGCTCGGCCTGGAGAGTGGATATTTTCTGCTCCAACTGATGGATACCACACCTTTAAACGTAGGCCAGACGACGAATACACAAACAAACGTACCTCGGCCCTCTTCTCAGTCTGTACACGAGAGTCTTCGATTCGTTGATTCCGCTTCTCGGTACAGCTTTGGTGTTTTTCTCGAAGAAGATTCAGGGTTCGGCCTGAAGTCTTCTCGTCCCTAGTAAGCATCTCCAGAGACTGTCGTTCATCGACAGCAAGGGAGCTTGCGGAGGCTTTCCTGTAAGATGGATGTCAGAGTCGGAGGCAATACAAGGAGGGCATTGGCTTACAATCGCGCATACTCCTCTAGACTCTCTTCGCTCAGAGCCATGTTATGATGTGAAGCCATCCTCTGCACCTCTAATCAAACATATCAGACAATCTCTATGTCGAAACGGAGGAGGACAAACCTTGAGCTACATTGGCGGCCTTCTGTACGCTCTCAAGTTCGTTCTTCAGCTTATCCACGCGTTCACTGATGTCCTGCTCCGTTTTTTCCACTTCTTCCTTCGTCTTCCCGGCCTTGTTCATCTTGCGGGTGGAGTGAACAATTTGAGCCTCTAGGGACGCAAGGTCGGGTTTCTAAGGTTAAAAAAACTGAGTGTTGCATGCTCAGAGCATGGATTTGTTTCACATACCTTTGCTTCTAGCGTTTTGTCCGCCTTCTTAATCTTCTTCTCCATTTGCATGACTGATGTCCGTGATTTAGCCTGGTCTGCACGAGCAGTCTCCAAAGCCTGGTCATGAGTACGTTGCTCATCTCGAAGCCCTGCTAATGCCCGATTTTGCGTCGTAATTTCCCTTGCATTCGAATCGATGTTCTCCTCGATATGAAAAAGTTTGAAGAGGATTCGTTGGAGATTCAGATGGTCCTGATGGCCAGTCAGACAACAAAAGTGTTAAAAACGGCGGAACATACGCGTTCTTGACACAACGCCTCGAATCTCTCTGCTTCACCCTTTTGCTCCTTGTATTGCTTGATCTCTCCCGCAATTCCTCGCCTCTTCGAAAAGTTGAACGTCGCGTTCTCAGTCGCCCTCTCTTGGTCCTCCTTGGCCTTTTCATATTCCGCTGCAAGCTCAAGAGAACCGCTGATCTGCTCTATAAGTTTTGCGAGTTCACGGGGTGACTGCGACGCGACGGCTTCAACGTCACCCTGGAAAACGAGGAAGTTCTTGGCTTTGACAAGGATGTTGTGGGAGATGAGAGCGGCGTTGTAGTTGGTGTATGTGACAACCTTGCCATTAAGTTTGTATTCCGAAGCTCCAGTAGTAGATATACTAGGCAGAATACGTTAAATGCGGCACGTCGAAGGCGACCTAACTCACGTTCGCTGAAACAGCCACTCTGTTCCATCCCCGTCTATGTACACAGCTAGCACCCACGCCTTCCTAGCAGTGCCCTCCCCCTCATCCCCCTCATCCTGATCAGCGGATCCAGCCCCTTCTTCGGCGGCGCCCTTTGTTAGCTTTCTACCACGGTACACGAGATCCTTCAATTGGGAGCTACGCAACTGTGCGCTCTTCACGCCAAGAACGAAGGATATGGCGTCCATTAGATTGGATTTGCCAGCTCCGTTAGGTCCAATAATTGACGTGAAATTCTTGAACGGTCCAATAGTCTGGTGTCCGCTGAGTAAATTGAGTTTCAGGGGGTGGTTAGCAGTCTGTCGAACGAGGAACGCACCGGTAAGACTTAAAGTCGCAGACTTCAATACGTAAAAGCGGCATATTTGCTACGATAATGTCGAGAATGTACGAGGAGAGCTGCGAAGAGCGTGGCAGCCAGACGCCACAAGATATACGTCGCGGTTCGCGTCAAGGCGCGTGTCACACTAGGTCACGCTCTCGCTTGCCTGACGTCTGACCGGGGGGCTGTCGGACGATGGCGTCACAGTATACATACCTTTTTTCCTTAATGTCTACATAATACTGATTTGCTGTGTGCTAAACGTAACCACAACGGGACCAGCTACCCTTACACACTTTGGTACCCGAGTATTTGGGTACCAACACTGTACAATGGTGGACAAGGCACTTATGAGTCGTGACCCATCCCCAGCGTAGAAAACACCACTCGGGCAGGGAAAGCAGGGCATCACCAAGAAATTGAAATATTAGCTCGCTAAAAGCGTCTCAGAAAATGGAAGCTGAGGTCGAGCGACGCGTAGATCGTAAGAGAAAAGAATATATTGTCACTGTCATACAATCACTCTTCTGCTTGGGCCTGGGCCTTTAGTTTCGCCAGTTCCTTCATTCGGCGAAGGTAGCTGCGTAGTATCGTCAGCAAGAGACAGGCTCTATGGACATGGATACGCACTCATCGTATTGGCATCTACATGGCACGAGATATCAGCACACAGGCTTCCCTAGAACAACAAGCAACGCACTTCTCGTATGCATGCTTCTCATGCTCGCATTCCCATGGTAGGTAGTTGTTCTTCGTCCGACAGACGTTGAGAGGAATTAGTAACCTGTAGTCCCGTTAAGTATGGTTCCCACTGGAAGCCAAAGGTAAGCAAAGTAGGCATACGCAGAACACGAGTCTCTCCAGTGTAGAGGAACACCGTTCGCCTTAAGTTCGCTTTGAGAGGCCGTTGACGATGAAGGCATCCTTGACGACGGTGGTGGTCGGGACCGTATTTGTACGTGTTTCCTTTCTACGAGCCAACATCGGGCCGTTGGTGCCGCTGACCTTCTTGGATGTCCTCTACGTTATACCAGGATTCCTGCCATCGTTTCTGCTCCTTACCTCAAACTGTTACCTTTACCGCGATAATCACGGATGGCGCAGTAAAGGGCGCATCTTTTTTTGGCCCCACCGCAAACAGTGCGGCCGCATTGCTGTCTTAAACCTTTGGTTTCAGACCTGTGTGTAACAGAAATATTGCATTCAGAAGCTGCAATGGTCCTTAAGTACTACTATTGCAGCTTCTGAATGCAATATTTCTTACATTACCCCTACAATTCCAGATCCTGAGCAGTCACTACACCCTTCACACAACAACTTGTAGCGAAGATCTGCAGCTCAATGGGTGCTCTTTTCACGGCCCCCACCCTTCCTCATAAATGGAGTTGGTCTCTTTTATGACCTAGTTCCTCTGCGATGTATTCTGCATTTGCATTAGTCCAACCTGAGAAACTCGGCGAAACCAGACAGGTACGACTCCACATTGATCATGAGGGACTCATCGACATTAACAAAGCGTCTCAGGTATGAATGATGGGGTGGCAACTGCAGGTAGGTTTGTATTGCAAGTCCGATTCTTGTGGACCAGTCCTGTCCGACAGACATGTAAAACACGACGTACGATGTACGAGAATACAACTCTTACTTGGCGCCCTCTTGGCGCACGCTCCTCCTCCCTCCCCCAGAATTTGCGCAATGTAACAGTCAATTCAAGCCCTCAAATCTTGTCTTCGAGCTGATGAATCTGGTGTCTACTTATTAGCAACAGATGACTCCTTGCCTCGTTGATCTCAGTGATCTGCATCAAACGGTCGCAGAATCCGCTATCTTTCCGGTGCAACCGGTCTCTCAATACTACGTGACCGATGTCAGGGAGCGATAGACGGAAGTCAAGCTGCCCTTATTGACACGTGTCCAAAATTGAACGTCTTTGGGAGATATTTGTCGCTCGCTCCTGCACGCAGAGCACTAGCTCTGACTGCCGAGATGCCGCAATATCCTCGCAACCATATTTGTAACCTCGTGTAGCAGCTCACACTCTCACCACGACACCCTTACTTTCACAGTTTCGCCTCACAAAGGACTTTTGGTATGCGGGACGCTAGACAAGCGCCGGCGGAACTTAGTTGGACCTTGTACCTCGATCAACCGCTTAATACTATGCTGCCGACCTCCATCTCAAAGTACGGATTAACCACCAGCTGTACCTGTTTGAATGTTTGCGCCATCAGGCCGTCAGGTACCTCCGTATGATCGAAGCATCTGCGCCTGCAATAAATGAAATCGTAGGCGACCATGCTTTCAAGTGATCATCAAGGTCTCGCACAGTCTTTATATCCCTGGACTTACCGATATATCCGCATCACGTCGGCCCCAGTGGACCTTATAAACCAAGTGTCGGTAGAGTTACGCGCACCAACTCCCCAATATGCCTGCTTTGGTTCAACTACTTGGATGGTGCTTCCTACTTCAACTCTCTCTTTCTTTTAGTCTCGTCAAGGGCGACCCAACCGCCAACCTATCTTATGGTACTTTTCAAGGATATTATTCCGGAAACCTGTCTATCTTTTTGGGCATCCCGTTTGCTAGTCCACCGTACGTGCTACTTCTCAGTAGATCGGACCCTCTCTCTCTCCCACACACACCTTCTTAATCTCCCATTACAGGCTTGGTTCACTTCGATTCGCCCCTCCTCAAGCTCCAGCGGAGGTCGGCGGTATACAAAATGCTTCAAGTTTCGGGCCCGCCTGTCCCCAACAGCTAAGCACCATACCAGACGTCCTTCCATTCGCTTTTTCTATGGCGACCGCTTCCAACGTGTCAGAAGATTGTAAGCCATTTATAGTCTCTTCATATCCCCTTGCTGATAGTCTCAGGTCTGACCGTGAATGTATGGGTACCAACAAATGCATCCAAACCACTTCCCGTTGTTATGGTGCGTATCTAAATACCCCGCTTATCTCTGTAGCTCAATATGTTGATCCCAGTGGATCTATGGAGGTAAAGACCCTTTGTCTCATGGCTAGTTTTTGGGTGCATCTAATCTAGCCGCCAGGCGGTTTCGAGACTGGGTATACGGAGGCCTACGATGCATCTGATTTCGTGGAGCGATCTCTGATCTTGAATGAGCCCGTTGTCTTTGTTTCAGCAAATTATCGCGTCAACGGTAACTCCTTATTCAATAACGCCGCAGAGTCAGTCGTTCTTATATGTGCACGAAAGCCTTCGGCTTTTTAGGAGGCAAAGAAATCCAGGATGCAGGTTTATCTAATGTTGGCCTGCGGGATCGTAAGTAATGACTACACTCAATGTGTCGAGAATCTACTGATATACCGGGTAGAACGATTCGCGATGCAGTGGATACAGTCATACATTTCCGTATTTGGCGGAGATCCTACTCGTGTAATACTGTTCGTGTTATGCTTTACCTATTTCTTCACTCGTTATTTACTGCGCCGTAGTTGGGGAGAGAGTGCTGGCGCCATCAGTGTCGGTCTCCATCTCCTTTACAACGGTGGGACAACCGACGGTCTATTCAGAGGTGTATTTATGGTACGAATACATTCCTCTCGTGTGTTTCACTCGGTTTCTAAGTAGTCCGCAGCAATCGGGCGCCCCTTGGACTACCAGGAATATATCCTACGGCCAACCCTCTTTTGATCGCATTGCACAGGAAACAGGATGTAATACATCCGAGTCTGTTATCGACTGTCTTCGTGACGTGCCTTATGATACCCTCATGGCGGCGATTAATACCAATCCCTCGGTTTTCAACTACACGAGCTTGAACCTCGCATTTCAACCCTACAATGACGGTTCAATTCTCGACAGAAATGCGCAGATGGCTGTGCAGCAGGGACGATTTGCCCATGTTCGTACTACCCCTTAGATGCCAATCCGTCGACTAATCAATGATCGCAGGTCCCGTTTGTGACTGGAAGCTGCGCAGACGAAGGGACCGTTTTCTCCTTGGGGAGCACTAATATCACGCGCGTTCATTTTCTGCTGCCCTTATTCGACAAATCTCATGCTGATGCTAACAGGACCGACCCAGAATTCATGGGCTATGTAAACACAATGTGCGCTGCTGATGTTTGGCGCGACAAATATCTAACCTGAAACGGTTCTAGGTACCTCCCCGAACTATCTTCTGAGCGCATGAGCGACGTTAGGACGGCATATCCGGATGATCCTGCAGATGTGAGCATCCGCCATCATGGGAACCTTACTCTCCTCACTTCACTATCGAAAAGGGCTCTCCTTTTGGTTCCGGTGACAATTACACTCTGACGTGAGACATTAGTGCTTCAGAGATCTTTTGGCGCTGATTGAACTCTAGCCCGGAATACAAACGAATCGCGGCATTTAATGGCGACTACTCATTCCAAGCGCCCCGACGAAACTTTCTAAGCATAGCTTCGCAAACGCAGCCGGCTTGGGCGTACTGTAAGCCATCCTGCTCACAGATTAACAATGTGAGCTAATGAGTATCACAGTGTATACAAGAGGAAATACGACTGCCTACCTGGGGGCATACCACGGGTCAGATTTGACTGAATTCTTCAGCTTCGGCGGCTCTGCATCTGGCAATGATTTCATTGGTACTGATGCCCTGGGTAGGTCATCCATCAAACCATCATATGATATTCCTAACTGGATACATCTTTGCGCAGTCAATTTTGCAACGAACCTGGACCCTAATTACTCTTCTAACTCCACCGGCCGAGGAGTTAGCTTATTGGAAACGACCTCGTGGTCACAGTGGACATCAACGCAACGAAATATAGCGGAATTCATTGATTCATCTTCACTGTTGACATTCACGACAGATACGTATCGCGCCACCGCCATGCAGTTGCTCACAAATCTCTCCTTACAAGTCTGATGGCTTCATCGTGTCCGGCCGCTCGCCATAACGAGCCATTCCTTTACTACTTACTATTCGGGATCGCGTCAATTTGTCGGTCGTTTGTTTCCAGATGCCTACCATGGTACCCTGTCCAGCAATTGCCAAATACTGCAATTGCCAAATACCCAAACAAGTCTAGCATAGCCCGAATAAATAATGCGACTAGGTAACAATATAACGGTTTATTGCGTGTGTATCAGAATGGGCTCGCCCAGTGAAAGTTGATTAGGTATCAAAGTGACCATCCTGTGCTGTTGAATGGCTTTACCATTCGACCCGAAGTACCGCCCACTCTCGAAATTCCAGCAATCATTGGCGCGAACCCAGTTTGCGATACCGTCAAGGTAAAGAGATGCGATATCATCTATTCCGGGTCCCCACTTCGGTATTTCCTCCCATAACGTTCGAAATTTGGTCCTGATCGACCGGTGAAGATCTTCCACCCATGATAGTGCTTCATCGAGATCACATTTCTGCTCGTTCATGACACAGACAATGATATTGTGAGGATATTCTTCCGACGCCTGCTCCTTATTATACGAAGCAAGATCCTGAAGATTGTAAGCGTTGCTGCTCTACTAAAAGTGCAAAGAACTTACGTTGTCAATGATTATCAGGTCACAAGCCAAGCGCCCCAGTTCAACGACGGTTGGATGATAAAACACCTCATCAGGTAAGTCATAGTCCAGCTCTAGCACCGCATAAGACGGGCCAGTCCCAATGGTAAATCGACGGATTTCAAAATAATCTTTGACATTCCGGGTATGGCGCTGATGCCGATCCTCTGCTTGTGTGACTACGGAATCCATATAACGTCCAAAAGTCTCAACGATGCGCTTCTGAGCAGTGATGCTGGAAGTTTTGATACCAAGAGCCCAAAACCTGTGGTCGAGAATTAGAATTAGGGAACGGAGTCGAATCTCATGAAATCTTACTGCTGTGCAACAAGTCCAAGAACAACTTCATTGCTGGGTCGCGGTTTGAAGGGGTTTCTAAGCGCATCCTTCACAATTTCAGCATATTGACGGACTACTTCGGGAGTTTCATTGTCCGTGTACTCGTCGAAAACAAAAAACAAGTTCATCAAGTCGCATCCAGTACGCAGTTGTTCTACACGGCAATCATTCCGGGCATATGTGTCAAGAACGACGCCACGCACCTCTAGTTGCCGTTGTGTATGCCAAGGAAGCTAGCAAACCTGGATCGGAGACAGAGGTCAGCACAGTTCGCTACTAAGGGGAAGCACTATTACTGAAGTCACAGCGATCAAATGCACTGAGGGAAACCAGTTATTACGACCCAAAAAAATATACTACGTGCCTACCGTTGGGCTTCTGGTGAAAACGCCTTGAAAGAGCGAAACCATGCTTCCGATTCGACCTTCACTTCTTCATAATAGGGATTAATTTTGCGGGGCCATGGCCAGTCAGCCACAGTGTCCGGAAGGCAAAACACTACACCAGATTCAAGGACCATTCTGTGAAGAGAAATCGGAGAAATAGAGGTTGTTCGTGACAAAGGAAAGCCGCTCTTCCACAGACATATATATACACCGATCGGACTTCAAAGGCTATAGTTTTCGCGAGAACACAGGAATGAAATCCGATCACGTTGACCAGCCTCGAGTGCGATGGGAACACACACGTGGCTTGCTCTGTGATAACAATACGGACGTTTTAGTGGACGGTACTGTTCCGAGCTGTTCAATCAAGAGGGCCCAGAGCTGAGCTTCCGCGCTTACTCTTCTTTTTTCAGGCTTACACAGCATATTTTTTTGTGACAAGAAAAGTTGTCATCGCATTTCGACTGAAAAGGCTAAATCCCGCTGACGAGACAATCATCTACAGTAAACAGCAAGTTTACAATTCGAATGATGAGATGCGGAACATTCCCCCTCCCTGGAAACATGCAGAGAATTGGAAATGATGCTAGGCAGTACACAGGTTCAGCTCAGGTTGGAGCGGTACTTATCAGTCCGCTCTTGGCACTTTTTAAAATCTACGAACCCGAACGAAACGAAACGAACTGCGGATCCATTCTATCTCAGGGGACAATCCAGACTGGCACCAGCTACCAATCAGGACGTGCGGTCCTCGGTTGGGAGCAGCGTATCCCCGCGTCATTGAATGATTGTGATCATCATCAGCCGCACATCAAGTGTTTCCGTCGATTTCCTAGATGACCAAATCTCGGGTGGTGCAGGTTGAAGAATGATATTGACATCATTCCGAAGAAGACGTAAGTTTGATTCCCTCCTCATCCGCCTTACTAGTCCACGAGGCATAATCATGTCAGAATAAGTATCTACTTCAGTCCAATACATTTATTAGTTTTTTCTAAGCCTTGGTTTCCCAGCCTGTTTCTCAACGCCGATCTCCCATATTGACATGGTCCACCTCATCATGCAGCAGGATTCATAACTGAGCCTTGATGAATGACGGGACATCTGGGAATCGAAGCTCAAACTTGCACTCGAAATGAGCTGGCCGGCTGTTCAAAGTCAGATGAATAATCGCCACTGCAGTTGTGCGACAATTCACCACTCACACGATGAGCCCAGTATTCACGAATTCATCTTTGGGAGGGTTCTTGGAGGTGGAAGCGATGCTGAAAGACCACAAAATCAAGGCGACGTTGATGAACAATGAATCTTTTGCGACAAATCGTCCAAGACAAAGTCTATCAAAATTCTGCCGGTAAACATCAATCCATCTGAAGCAGATTCAAGGATACGTTACCGGTTTCCAAAGCCCCAACTTCCGTGTCCCTCCCCTTTTGTATTTGGAAACGTTTGCAGAATGGTCCCACTTGCATCGAGATGACGGCTCGGATTGAATTCATCAGCGTCGGGACCGTAGACAGACTTATCTCGGTTCATTGCCCTACAGACAGGTGAACGCGGGGACCAATCGGATAGAGGACAGCATTACCAGACGTTGGGAAGGACAATGGTATCCTTTGGTATGTACCAGCCGTTATAATAGTCGTCCTGCATCGCGAATAGTAAGAATGGAAACAGTGCCAACAATTGCCAGTATGATAGACTTGCCTCCATAGTACGATGAGGACTGCTAATTGGGCTCACAGGGTTCCAGCGAAGGGTCTCGCGAATGATAGCTTGAATGAATGGTAATCGATCCATATCAGAAAATGTCGGTAGACGATCCCTCCCTACTACGGCGTCAATTTCTTCATGCGCACGTTTCTGCACGTCCGGGTACATAGTCATCGCCAGAACAAACCATGTGAGAGTCCCGGATGTCTAATGAACCATCAGAAATGCCATTTAACCGGCTGTAGCCATTGAATGGTCACCGTTTCGGTTCCTGCGGCACTAAATTAGAGTTGACGTTATGAATGGTTCTAGAATCAACCGAATAACACTTACTACATTGTTCCTGACAACCAGGAGGACTCTAACCGACTTAAACTGCAGCTTTCACTATGCTCCGTAATTAATGTCGCTGCAAAACTCTGTTGACTATCTCCTTCAGCCTATAAAGATAATCAGACGTGCAATGGTCGAGATAAAGCAAAGAATTAACTTACGATCAGAGACTCTACATTTTCATAGAGACCTTGGAACATTTTCGAATCTTCGCCGAAGTAATACTCAGCTTCGCGCCGCCATGGTGTCATGAAATTTGGAAGATGTTTCATCCACGGAAAGAAATCTACGAGATGAGCACCTGGATATGTAGCCGTGACCAGGCGGTCAACAAAGCTGTTGATCTGTGGTAAGGCGGCAAAGGCCTTGGATCGTCCAGCAGAAAGCCCATATGTAAGCGTATAGACTAGAAGGGCCGCGGACCTGGTTGTATGTTATATCGTCCATTCCAGATTGACGTAGAAATTTAACACACTCTCGAAACAAATGGCTCCAGTCATCGGGTTTTGCAATTATAGCGTCAATCAGCATTAAAGCCTCGCGGATCTGAACAGGTTGCAGTTCTTGTGCGGTCTTCTTAGAAAGTCCTTCTGCTGCCGCTCTTCTCATTTTGCGCCATCTACAAAGATGCTACGAAACTGTGTAATGCGAACAGAGTTTATGGCTCACTTTTCTCCGACTCTGGCCAGAACCATGACCAGGCCCCCACATAGCACGTCTGAACCTACGTAGGCATCAGGCCTGTCCGAATATATTCGAGCCCGTTTGTCTAGCAAGTCTGAAGCTACTTCATGAGTATTAATAACGATGATATCCTTCCCGAAGACGGATATGTAAATGAGAGGCCCTAGCCAAGTTTCAACAAAACGAAACATTTGATAAAGAAAAGACGTACCGTAAGTTGACTGGAGATCCCGAAAGGTAACCCAGAGAGAACTCGACAGCTGCTTCACGTTCCCAAGGAGCGGAATTCCTGGTGGCCCTGGTGGTAGCGAGCGACGAGAGAAACGGTTCAGAAGAAGCTTCACCAGCGCGAAACTTAAAAGAATAGAAGTAGACGTAAGGAGCATTCCTAGAGACGGATTCCAGGGTATAGTTTTAGTGAGCCAGGAAGACATCGTAGTTTCGCAGATCCTGGAGCAAGACTATCTGCAGCTGTAAGATGGAAGATAACATTCTGCATAGCACCATTTAGGATGCAGTTCTGATCCGGCATAGAGATGGTATTACATCAGAAAATAAAATCAATCCAAAAATGCTCCGAAATGAATCAAACCAGTTGGAGAAACGTGCACCAATCGGACTACGTCTGTCGACAACAATACCAGGGCTGATGCGAGGGAACGGGCCGACTTAAAGAAAAAAAACCGGCGTTTCGCAAATAAAACAACAAAAAAAATGCGCCCATATTCTTGTTAGATCGACGAACAACGCGGATCGCAGTTTTCCTGGTAAAGATTAGAGTAGAAGCAGACTGGGCACTATGTCAGGTGAACATCAGAAGCAAAATGCTGAAAGAGAATGCGAATTCTTCGGAACAGGCCGGAGTACGCCACTGTCAAGGTGACGACTCTTTTTCAAAATCAGATTTCGTAAGAAACAAACGGCGCCCGTTCTCGGATGTTGTGACCCAGCCTCGCTAGAGGGTAGCTCAGATTTTAATAATTAGTACCTTATAAAATAGTCATCCAACCCAATATACAAAGTCATGAATAGTACAACAGTATCCAAAGCGTGAGTTACATCATCATTTAAACTTCGCTGGACAATTTGTATGCAGGTGCCGAGTCAGCGCTGCGTCTGTGTTCAGCGAAAACCATTTCCTGCTCCGTGGAAATGATAAGGGTGTCAGAAATTCCCCCGCCCGAATTCATCTTCTTAGAACGAATGTTGTGTCTATTGAAGCTTGCATCTCCTCCAGATGATTTTGACACACGGGACAGAGGATAGGCAAAGGAGAGATTCTTCGAAACACCATGAATCATCCCGAGGCCAACCCGCGCAATGATGAGAAGTGGTGTCATAACCTAGCGCCATTGAAAATAAGACAGCTGAAAAATTAAATGACAAGAACTCACAGCCAGTTGGGTAGAAATGTCGATACCATTCAAGGCGAGCTCACTTCCACGTACGTATAAGATGAGCATAACCAAAGTCACAGCGGCAAAAATAGCCCCCGATTCGACAATAGTCAAGATCGTCGACAGATATCTGTTTGAATGGGAGCTGCCAAGTTGACGCCCCATATACCATAGCCGAAAGGCAATTGCCGCCGTTACGCAGACATTCACGGCAAGATCCAAAGACCAGCCGACAGGCCCTATATGTTTGATTCTGGGAGAGTCGATATTTGCATTCGGTTGAGCAAGCAAACCGGTGGCGGCGTATGCAGTTCCTGCTCATCAAGATCAGATCATTGGGCAATGATTTAGATTAAAAATCACTGACCCATATGTGCAAGCTCGACGATAATCTGCCGGAAAAGGATGAGAAAAGACAAGGAATGGAGCCCGACATGACGTACTGGGAGTACTGCAATTTTCCAGTTGTATCCCCAAACCACATATAGACGCCAGATCTAGAAACATTTCGTCGTTCAGCAGATACAAGTGTTAAATGGTAAATGTTGGTACCAGGATCAGATCCTGAAGGAAGACCTAAAACGTAAATCAGCCAAAAACCGTATAAGCCTGCACTGAGGGCTGTGACTCACACTTGTATCATATAGAATCGTTTTCGCAACAGCAGTTCCGCGTGCATTGTCGGCCCAATAAAGTATGGTGTAGGTGGAGTCGCCGGGTTGAGGGACGTCAATGAAGGCCTCCAATAGTTCTCTCAGAGACAGAGATACATGGGTAGTAGCAAATAGGAATAGGGCAGTCGATGTGGTGGCTAATAGCCTGAGGAAAGCAGGTCAAGTATAAGATATAGCCTGGTCTAGAGACGAACGGACCTCGGAGAATTGTGCTTCCGTACAAGAACAAACATTGCGCCTATGAATATGATAGCGCTTCCGGTTCAAAGTTCAGGGCTTGAAGAAGCGTGAAGAAGATAGACTTACTTCATTCCTGTTTGGCCATTTGTGAGCAGAAAGCGTGAGCTGGCAGCCGATAATAATCATACCCCATAGACATGTCTCTATCCAGATACCAACAAGCGCATTCCTGTCGAGGCGTGGAAGGGTCGAAGCCATGAGTGGAAGAGGGAGCGGCGAAAGGTTAATCAATTTCAAGTGGACCCGCTTATGTAGGCGGAATGCCGCATCAGACAATGTATTGAAGCCGATGTCCAAGCGTGGTCAAGGGGGAAACAACCCAATCAGCTCCATCCTGATGATGACCTTTGTCAACGCCGATTTGCAGTTTGATCGTACGGTGAACCCGTAGGCAGTCATGAGCGTCGCCGATCAAACGCCCCAGGAAACTGTTTGTAACCAGATGCTTTCAGCCGCAACATATGCGACCGTAAGCAACCTAGGTCGCCTAAAGATGGTACTTGGGATCCAAACCACAGTGATAGCTGGTTCCACTGAACACTCAAGTAGCGATGATAGTAATCATATGGTCAGCAATATCGAGATAAATGACAGAATGGTCAATAGATACGAGCAGACAGTTAAGTATTGCAGAAAGTGAAGCTGTAATACCGGCAAATTGTGATAAATGTACCTTGACTGATCAACAGAATGCAACACATGGGCGCCACAGGTCCCATCTTATTCCTTTTGCTACATGTTTACATGAGTTCGGCCTTGAGGATGTGCAGGAATCGCTCGATGACGAGCGTTCAATCGCGACGTATCGGGGCAGGAAAACTAAATGGGGTGCTGGCAGGCGTGGGGGGAAACGAATAAAAGCAGCCTTGTGATAGGTCGATGACGAAGACCCACGCGCTCTAGACTTGTGCGAAACGTGTTGAATACTCCGACGGTGCCGGTCAGTCCCACTTGGAAGAAACTCTTCACCACAACTGCGGCGCATTTCATAGTGGAGTACTAAATAATGGAAAGCAGTAACATTAGTGCCATTATTGTATCAAAACCTTGTTTTACGGAGAGAATCAAATCCATGACGACATCTTGTGGATAGCCGACAAGATGGTGGCGATACTGTTCAACGAGTCATTTCTGGAAGTAAATCATTTCCGTACAGGATTTCACAGAGGAACGAATAGAACAAACAACGGTGCATAAAGAGAGCACCTGGATGATTAACCCTTTGATGGACCTTTGAGCCCGGGAGCCTTGGGTCGGATATTAACACTGAAATCAAAAGTGAAAAGCACTCGTTCGTCGTCGCACGGCCATACATAGAAAAAGGATGGCTAAACACTAGTTTTTCACGTATCCTTATAGTACCGAGTAAAAATTCCGTGACACTCAGCGCCCGGTGGTGGATAAGCGGACTGTGTTTGCCGGCGGCTGGCATATGGGTCGCGTCCACAAGTTCCGGAATCCACTAAGCATACTGGACCGTTTCGACCAAGTGTTTGTGAGGGGCAACACTCCCAAAAAACACCCCCCCCCCAATGTTTTATAATTTCTTCTGCCAAAATTTTCCGTCAAGTTTTTGAACGTTTTGAATGTACCATATTCTGTACTTGTTATGATATAACGTCGAATTTACGGTATTTCATTTTACGACAGTGCGCATCCCTTAAAATCTAAACCTCGATTAAATATCGGACTGCATCATGGCTCCCAGAAGGATGAGACGTCCCAGAGCTACATGTTCTGAGGTCGATGATCGTGGCGGCTACAAAATTTGGCTGGCCGCGTTAAGCCAGCTCCGTAGCCCACCAATGTCCGGCGGTAGCTGGTGCCTCAAATCTTGACATGTCTAGTAATTCGCCTAGCACTTCTCTTCATGTAGCAGATGTCGCTGCAATCCGTTCCAATTCTACTTTATCTGTTTTGCCGTTTCTTCGTTGCCAAATTAACGATTGATCTCCCAATAAGAACAGGACAAACCTTGTTAAAGGAAGGCATTCAAGGGGCAAGAACTTGGCAGGAACAGCATAGCTAGGATGTATGCGCGTTACTGCTTCTCGAACGACAGTTGGATTCAGAGTCTCTGGTGAATAGAACGCCCATAACTCGCTGTTGACGAGCAAAGAGCATGCACTTGAAACTCCAGGGCAGCGAAGGATCGTTGCGGTGACCCCATCAAGTTCAACACGGAATCCCTCAATTTAATGTGAGATGTCCCATGCTTTTTTAAAAAAATACGATCAATGGCCGACACACCTTGATTTTAACTTGGTCGTCGAGGCGACCGAGAGGTTCAATTTGCCCGTCTTCCCTCAACCTCCCTAGATCTCCCGTGTTGTACATCCACCTGCCAGACACGGATATGAGCTTTTTGCTTGGAATTTGATCCGAAGGATTTACCGTGATTCGTCTCGAAATGGATCTGGGACGTACTTTGTGGCTGTGAGTGAGGGTCGTTTCAAGTAGCCTTGAGTGATACCGCGACCGCCACTCCAAATTATGCCTGTCGCGCCCACTGGAACTGGCTGTAAGTCGTCATCAAGTATATAGATAGAGTTGTTCGGGGTCGGGAATCCTATTGAAAGTGGGGTTCCTGGTACATGCTTGCGCATCGTGTTTACGATAGTGACCTTTAGGTTTTCCAATCAACTGGAGCTATTTCTGGACAACGAAGAAATGCGATACTCACTTCAGTAGGACCATAGGCATTGTAAAACGTCATTTGCTTTGCCCATCTGTCCGCAAGAACCTGAGAGCACGGTTCACCAGCAGTAGCAACGACTTTGACATTGGGGTAATCCACAGGATCATGCGAGACCAGAATTGAGGGAGTCGCAATTATCACATCGACCTTCTGCATCACAGAAATCCAATCTGCGCGTCGTGGTCCGCGCAGGTAGAGGGTTCCGCCATTAATGAGGCATCCCAGGGTTTCCCAAGCGCACATATCAAATGCAATATTCAACAGTTGGGATACTTTGGTGCCCCGACAAATACCTAGATTTCCAGGAGATAGTGACAGCACTTATTCGGACTGCGCGTCAAATGGCGTTTATTATCAAAGAGGAAGAGACACACAATTAGTCACGTTTGAATGGCTGACGATGACTCCCTTCGGCGCTCCGGTCGTGCCTGCACTCGGATGTCTGAGTCAACACTACGATTGAGAATCAAATCCATCTCACCCGACGTGTAAATAATATAAGCTTTATCGGAGCCGCAGCCTTTCCAAGAAGTCTGTGTTTCGGTGCCTTCGTTGACGAGCTCCAGGACGTCCTCTGTACAGAAGTTCTGAGGCGGTAATAGGCCTTTACGAGACGCGAAGACCCTTGAATATAGAGTAAAGGATGGTTCCGCATCGGAAAGGATGCCTCGAAGAGTATCGTCGGTGATGAGCTGCCCATCTAACGGAATATATGCAGCACCAGCACGAAGAACACCAAGGATAGCGCATATATGAGGGACAGAACGCTCTCCAACAAGGCATACCTGCGATCCAGGAAGAACTCCCCTGGTTCGCAGAAAGGACGACACACGTAATGAGAGTCTGTCGAGTTGCTCGTAGGTCAGAGAATTTCCAACATGATCGACAATGGCGAGGTCTGCAGGGAAGGACTTTGAAACGGCTTCGAAAGCATCGTGGATGCAGGCATGCTTGATGCGAGCAACGGTCCCAAAGCTGACGCTCAGGTTCGAGTCATGTCTCTTCTCGGAGTCGGACCCTTTGAAGAGGGTCGACCAAGGGTACGGAATTTCCCACGCGGTGAAAAATGGAGCAATCGCCGTGAACAAGTTGTTGAAGAAAGCAAAGACGCAAAACATTAGCGAGTTCGGCATGAGGATGTTCTATAGACAGATATTGCGACGAAGGGTATGGGAAGTTTAAATGAAGCCGCTTCACCTTTCTGATGCATATGCAGAACTTGATGCTGTTCCATGCTAACGCACAGCAAGGCCACAGGCTCTGTTCCCGGATTGGGCGGGGTTTGATGAAAATGCCGGAACAATATATCTATCTTAGGTGGCGCAGAACATGGAATATTCTTGTGCTGGCACCGGGCGCGTGCATTGTAATATCGGTTCGGGACAGAAACCTGGGCCGTGTTCCAAGTCATCTGTCTGGTACTGGTCTACAGATCATTAGAAAAAGAAGTTGATGATCAGCTTCGGATGGGAAGTGGTCTCGCTGATTGTGTGGATGAAAGGCTCCAAGTAGACCATAATCAGCTTCTTGATCGTACCTTCAGAAGGCCTCACGGGGCTTACAAGTATCATACTCCAGGACATCTGTTCCGGCGCCAAGCAAGTGCAGTTGACCTTGGGAACAGTTGAACCACACCAATTTTCATAAGCAGAGTTGGGGCGAATGACTGCGAACACTGATTATCGGTCTATCAATCATGTCAAGACCTATATTTTTCATACGTTCCACACGATTATTCATGACTCGTCGCTCGATTTCTTTTAGATAATATGTCCGACGACTAGGACACTAAAGTAAGGGCCTGTCGGCGAATCTCGTCGACATACTTCTGTAAGTATTCCCGATCCCAAATATCATTGGCCTAAAGTGACGATCATCAAGGACTTGAAACAAAACAGAAGACAGTTCTCACCTCCACTTGGATTACTATCTCCGACTTCATAGTCCACGCATGAGTAAGCCTAGATTGTGTTCATTCAATCCTATTGAAGAAAAAATGGAGGAAGTACGTACGGATTAGGCATTGTCAGCCGATGCCCAAAAGCCATGTCATGTATCTTGATTAACGCCGCTTGCGTCGAATCACCGTTAGGATATAAAATAGTTGGTGTGACGGCATCCACAACCCCAAGATTTGTATTAGTCGTTGCCAATGGGTTGTGGGTAATACCTGGCTTTCGCGGAGGATTCAAAGTCATCAGAGCGGCCGAAAGATGCGGAAGGTGTGGATTGGTCAAGAAAAAGTCCCACTGCTCTTTGAGGGATTGCATTATAACACGAAGTTGTTCTCTGCCGGGCGAGAGGGAGGAAAATGACGAATAATCGATGCGAAGTGGAACAAGAGTCATCTGAGAAATGAATCTATCTTTCGATTGCATCTCGGGAGTTAGCCATGATTGCAAAGAGATGCTATAGGCAATTCCTTTGAATTACGGAGTATATGGTGACAGCAAAAACGCACATGCTAATAGGGAAGGATATATTTGCTCGCGGTGCTTCTTCGTCCGTGACGGGATTCAAGGCAAAGATCGCCAGTATTTGAGCGGCTCCGAAAAGATGGGTAACGGTGCATCCCAGTGCCTTGACTTCCCTGAGCAAATCGCGAGCCAATTCAGGATTTATGGTATTGCGAACACGAATCGAGAGTCCCTTTCGTGTCGTCTCCGTACGCTGGGCAACAAGACTGTGGGAGACCTTGTAAACGGGATATGAGCGACATGACAGAACGAAAGATCAATCATACCGGTCTATGTTCATGGGCCTGTTTAATCTTGCCTAGAAGCTCGAGTCCAGCAGCGTCAGCATCCAGACGCGGTCCACCAGTTGACGTGACGGGTCCTGGCGGAAGATTGGCCCACTCTGTGCCCCAGGCAGCCGACATGATGTCACTAGAGCTATCAGATACCATGGCCTCAAAAAGTATCTTGAACGCGTTGAAAGTGGGGCGGGCGTCCATAATGGTATGGCTGCCATGCATAAACAACCCAAAGGAGCTAGGTCGATCTTGTAGACAGAACATTATGCACTTTATGATGTCTTCTTTGCCTGGAGTCTCTAGCTTGCGCTGGTTGATCATGGCAACGAAATCATCAACGTCCATTGGTTCATCGAGTACTTCGATTGAGCGTTCCACCCATTCCATGACAGCTTGTGCATCTTTGGCCGGACAGTAGACCCAGGACCTTAGTTCAGGATCGTGAATGCCCGCTTCTAGAGACGCTGCGATATTAGGACAAAGGAACCTGAAGCCGAACGCTTGAGGGCTTTGGTGAAATTACATTCTTTAGATATACCTCAATTTGGCCCACGCGTATCGCAGACGCGTGTGTAATTCTTGCAGAGAGAGTAGGGTCTCGAATGTGAATCCCATACAACATTCGGCAAGGCTACAATTCTTGGTAAGATTTCATTGTCAGAATATTTAACAGCCCTACCCATCGTAGAAACGACCAAACTGGTCATTCATCAACTCGGAACCCAGAAGAGGTCTGAAATAAAAGAATCAGAATGATAGCGGCCAACACGGGTTAGTAGGCTGACCTAGTATACACAATACTAGAGTCCCTCTGCAGAGAGGTCCACGCGGGTTCGTTAGCGACGACGTTCATCGTGAAAGATGGAAAAGAACTTCAGGCTGCGGTTCCTCCGGAACAACATGTCGATGATTAGCAACATGTGGGGCCTGGCCACAGCCATGGTTTAGTCCATACTGGTTCACGGCACCGGGTGAGCGCGTTGTGGTTCAGTTCCAAGTATATCCATACCCTGATTACAAAGCAGCCCGATCAATCTGGAAACTTTGGAGGAAACCGAACTTGTGCAGCCATGCTTACGCGGTCGGCGAGATGGCTGATGGGAAAAGCTGCATACAAGGGAGACGAAATTTCTCACTGATTCTGTTCTCGCAGTTCCACCATGGTGTTTGCTTTTCGTCGTCAACCTCTGAAAGCGATCTATCTGACAGGCAGAGTCGTTGCTCTGCTCTTCGTACAAGTGCCTTTCTGGACCGTGCTGTATGCAATTCCTGCTGCCAGGCCTCGTCCATCCTGGTCTCTTTCGAGATGCCTCATTGTTTCGGTGTACCGCGTTTTCGTCAATGTCATGTACAGCACGACGCCGATGGCGCACGACTCACCGGAGAAATTCTCCACTGAGGCTGAAAAAGTCGGCTTTGTTTGGGTAGACCCAACACCAGAGCTGTTGAGCGGTGAAGTGGAGACCTTAGCTGAAAAGAATAATGTTGTAGCTGAAAGGACGTCGGGTTTCTGGTACGGACCAAGAGGCCCCGATGGCAAGTTTGGCCAGCCGGCACTCGCGAACGAAAAGGTCATCTATCATTTCCATGGTTCGTCTTTCTATCCCCTTGCTGTATTAACACTTCCTGATTCGACATCTATGCAGGGGGCGGGTTTGTTGTACGTCTGTTTAGATGTCCAGGTGCCTGTATGTAGCTGACATGCAATCTTTTTTAGATGGGTACCGCACATCCATCGAATGGAGCTATGACTACCATGGCAAACGGCCTTTTAGAGCATTTCCCCGCCAATACCCGACTTTTTGCTCTCGAATATCGCCTCTCTTCCCACGAGCCATTTGCGGTTGCGAATCCATTCCCCGCCGCTCTCCTTGACGCTTTGGCTGGATACAAATACCTCGTTGAATCTCTGCATTATGATCCCAAGAATATCATTATCGGGGGAGATTCAGCCGGTGGGGCTCTCGCCTTCTGGTTAGCTCGATACCTAGCCATCAGTAATCTTCCCAATCTGCCTAACGCTGGTGGCCTCCTTCTCCTCTCCCCCACCGTCGACTGGGCAAATACACGCATGGACCGTGATTCCTCTATGCAAAAACATTCGTCCAGCGATTTCGTCTATACCATTCTTACATGCGGATACACTCTGCGTGCGCTCATGGGGAATTTACCTTTGTCAGATGCGCCTTCGAATGTCTGGATCGCTCCGGGGTCGACGCAAAATGATGCTCCAGGTTTATTTACCGGTCTGCCAAAGACTGTCATTGTTGCTGGTGGCGCAGAGCAAACGCTGGATGCTATGGTGGTCCTACGAGACAGGTTGGAGAGGGATATTGGGAAAGACAACGTGAAGTATATCGAGAAACCTGACGCGACTCATGATTACCTCACTGCCTCATGGCATGAGCCTGAGCGGACGGAGACCCTGGTTGAACTGGGAGAATGGGTTAGAGGTGACATTTGGTCCTCCACTGCCTGAAGGCCGAATGTTCCTTGTTCACCTCCTTCCTGCCACTTCACCTCATACCAGTTTAGTACTTGCTTGGACAAAAATCGTTTGCTGATTCTTTTTGATGCATAACACATTACATGCTTCACACCCGGAACAGTTTGGAGATTGTATTTTCTGTGCAGGAAGGCAACCAAGCCTTCGTGCGTAGTTGATAGCTGTAAACATTTTGATTTTATTGTACACGAATTGGGGTATATAACTTTGATGCCGGTGGACCGCCAATGTCAAAGCACGGCCGAAGCATTAGAAGTCGAACGACCCGGCCATCTTCTCTTGCTGAAGAAACGAATTACTTGAATGATAGCAAACGTATAGCCGTACTATACCTTTATGTGTATTTCACTGCGTATATAAAAGATAGTTTACCTATATGTCTATGCCAATCTCTTTGGACCATAATCTTTGTAGTGTGCATCTACTTTTGTAATTTGTTTGCGGCCCGCTAGATGCCGACAACAACCATGTCTTCTGAACCGCATCGAACGCCTCTTCGTCGGATATCTCAAGGATCTCTTTTTCGTCTTTCACGTTCAAACGCGAACCAAGATGCCCCTCATGGACTGGAATTTCTCGAGCCAGCTATGGCAGAGCTCATCGACGAAACCGAAGCCTTGCAGAACAACGTCGAAGGGCTAAAGCACCTCAGCGACTCACTTGCGACCTTTAACGAATCATTTGCCAGCTTGATGTACGTGATGGACATGAATGCGCTAACGACAGACTGGCCACAGGTGCGTCTTATGTCACAGGACCTTGGACCAATGATTGATGGTCCTTTTAGGCTCCAACGGACGCGTCGTTCCTCCTGGCAAAGAGAAGAGCAGGTGGGAATCAACTTTTTACCTTTTAGGTCGGCATCTCATTGCTGTGTCCAGAGGAGGACGCGCTCGTTGCGCTTCAGGCAGCAGAGGAGACTAAGCGAAAATTGGAAACAACGGCAGGCCCTTCAAATCTTGCGGACAAGACGACAACAACAGAAACAGAGCCGGAAACAACGTACATTACTGCCGGAAATACCACAAAATCCTCAGCACCCCAGAAGAAGAGAGGGAAGAAGCCGAAACTGACACCAAAGGAGAAGAAGGAACGCAGTGTACGTCGCTTTTGATATCCCACTTGATTGCTTTCCGACTCATTTCTTGACTTTAGTTGGAGATCGAAAAAATAATATCATCTCTACCTCTTGAATTCCGTGGAAGTGATCCTACGCTTCGTCGCAATATGGAAATGGTCATAGAGGGCATGATAGATTCCCCTAATCAAGTCGTCAAACGTATGCCTACTCCTACTCAATCGACGCCAACTCTGACAATGTTCAATTAGTGACCGATCTAATACTACCAGATCTTCCGCACGCACGAGTTAACAAGTGTCTCATAGCCTTAGTGAACAGGAAGATCGTACGGAAGGACAATAGTACAGTAAGAGGGTTCTTTTCTACCCGCCGCTCAAGGCTGATGCGTATAAGGGGGTGGTTCTCTACCACTGGCAGGGACTGCAGTGATTAAGCGTTGTTCATCCCTGTTCTATTGGTCGCTTTGTACATTTGATGTCCGCTGTATGATATTCGCTTTGACCTCAGTGATAAAGTATACAACCGAGCAAACCGACTTTGGAGCATCCGTGACCCGCCCTGCCGTCTGTTACTGGGATATCCATTGTGCACTCATCCAATATTCCGTCTGCAGCGAGCCCGCACCGCCTGTCTTCCATAGCCTAAGTGATCTTTTGCAGATCCTGCGCATCGCTGGCCGTTGGACTTGTGCCATAGTCTCTTCGTTTATGCGTAGTGCAAGCCTTGTTGATGGCGTGTGCGATGTGTACAGTCACATGAAGGGAACTATCGAGAGCATGGATTACATGCCCCGTGTAGCTAAGAAGGCTACAAATGCAGAAAACAGTGAGCTGCTCTTCTTCCTTCTCCTATAGTCCTCTTGAGCATGGGCATCACCATTCTTCAGATGCTCTATAATATCCTCAGCTTCGAAATCAAGATCAGAGATAGACAAGGAAACGGTTTCCTCTTGTCCAGAGTATTCCAGGTCTACCAAGAGTATTTACCAGTGCCGTCCTCCCTTGGATTGATAATATGCATTATCATCAAGCGCGCGCAAGATTTTCAAGAGTAACCTTTTTAGAAATGGTAGATACCTTGCGTCAACCATGGTCTGGCATTGACAGGAAACATGTTTAGAGCGCTCATTTATCGATGATAAT